CTCAAACACACCCAAGCCTGGTCCATCATTGCTCGTCTCACCTCGGAGCACATTGAATCCTGGGAGGAGGAAAAACGACTTCGTAGCGGACGGCATTCGGACTTGGACATCTATGCTATATACAGGCTGTCTGGTAATGTGGAACAGCCTCATCGGCATCGAGTTCGTAACATTCTTCGACGAGTTCTTGATTTCCGTCAACTTCAGCAACCCAGGATCAATTTGTTATTGCGATTACCGTGGCTGTCCCACCCACATTATCAACGGTCCACCAGAGAAGTGCTTCGTCGTCTCGTCCTCGACCACCGCAACTGGGCCCTTCCATTCCACTTGCCCAGTACGAAGCTGGCAGAGACTCCTCATCCTCGAGTCCACACAGTCATGTGGAACTTTTCGTCATTTCAGGACTGCTACTCCTTGACATCCCCAGGACCATCATCGTGTCAATGCGCAGCCTGGCTAAAACGTCAGCCCTGGCTATCTCACGTTCAAGGCCATGTGGCAGCGGGATTAGATGAGTTCCGGTTTCCGGAACCCCCCAGCACGCTCACTACACCTCAGCGCTGGCGTCGTATTATGTGGACTTCTCGGTCTACGAAGTGCAAGTTCATGAACGCCTACGAAAATGGTGTTTGCATCACGGACTCCCCCTGGACCAGTTCCACGCACCCCTCATGGAGCACCTACGCAGTCAATTTAAGCAACATCGGCAGCACGCATCCACCCATCAGCTCCTTACCAAGCACCAGCTCAACATCCTGCATCGACACCTCGGCCAGGACTTTGTATGCCACAACGAGGATCACGACGACAACCACCTCATGTTCTTCTGCCCTCAACTCTACTTCAAAGGCCTCCACAACACCTGGCTTCAGTCCGGCACATTTTGCAGCTACTCCATTGAAGCCCGATCAAGCCGGGGCTCTTATTGTTGAAGCCATTCCGCGGCACCTGCAGAAGAGGTACAAATGGGCATACAGGAAGAAGACCACCTCCATCCCGGTTGGAAAAGTTTTTCTCAAACGCAAGAAGCAATGGAAATCGGGGCGGACCATTATAGCCTACCATAAGGTGGTACATCGGCAGCTCTTCAAAGCAGTCGCAATCCTTCTCGGCGAGATCGCAGCTGTTACATGGAAATGTTCATGGGGGATACACCCCACGCCGAGGATATGGCAGAACGTTAAACAGTACTTTGACAACACAGATGATACAGTCACCCTTGCCTTCCACAATGACGATTTGGTCGGCTTCTTCAATAGTGTCCCTCGGGATCAAGTGTGTGCAGCAGTCGAGCAGCTATTAGCAGAGCACCAGCGAGGGCAACCCGGTCTCGTGTATTCAGTGGAAACCCAGGCAGCTGTCCACTACAATCGGGTGTTTGCGGGCAAGCAATCCTACGGACGTTCGCCGACCACGCGTGTCATTTACATGGAGGACATCCTGGGTATCGTCAAGTCCAGCTTCCAATGCATGTATGTCCAGGTTGGAACTCTCATCCCTCGCCAAGTCCACGGGACAGCGATTGGTTCTCAGCTGAGCCCAGTACTCAGCCACATATGCGTCGCGAGGCACGAAGTTATCTGGCAGCGTATCTACGGACAATGGTTTACCAGTCACAATATCTTTTGGGAGCGATATGTGGACAACAGATTTGTCATCTTCCCGTCTCCAGCCTCAGGTCACCCGGCAGCTCCATTGGAGGCTCTGCTTCAAGCTGACTTTTACGGCGCTCCCATCGTGCTGGAACAGGTGGGGTCTTCGAAGTTCCTCGACTTCGTCATCGATGTGGGCGACCGGGCGATTTACTACAAAACCCCAAGCAAAATCTGGCAGATAAGAGGACCCCACACTGCAGGAAGCCTCTCCACCCTTCTCTCCGGGGCCAGATCACGGTCAGCCCTCGCCACCAAGTATGCGCACCCAGCCAGAGCAGTACAGATGGCACTGGATCAGCTCCGCAGTATTTATCTGTCCGCCGGCTACAAGTTAGCTGACCTGCAGCACCTGTTTCATCTTCCGGCGATCCCAACCAGAAAGAACCTTTAAGTGCCAGTTTGTCGCTGCTTTTGATGTTAGGCATTGTGGCTCGCCTTTGTCTTTTCGGTTTTTCTCCGGACCTGTTTTGGCTCGTCTTGGCTTTTGCGTTCGGGTGTGGTTCTTTTTGGTTTTTGGTCCTTGATTTTTGTGTTGATCACGGAGCTCATTCACTGGATCAAAAAGTGTTGGCCTTCTCGCCGACATCGGAGAGCGGTTGCCATGCTCGGCCGCATGATAGCACTTCATCATCGCATGACCCAGAACGCTGCGGAAATGATGCAGCTCATCCAGGAGACCTTGAATCAAGCTGACGAGGCACACAGCCGCCGGCACCATGACGGGCAAGGTAGCTTGCGGCAACAATATGTCCGAGGCCGGTCGCTAGCAGAGTCACCGCGACCGCGAGCACTTGACCATGCTGGAGTCGATGAGGTCAACCCACCTGGCCCGGTGATGCTGCGCTCGGTCAATTCGGAGACTCCGACCGACCCTGCGCCACACGTCGGCTTCCAGTCACTCCAGCTACACGCAGACCACAGGCACAACGCGGTGGCCAACCCCAAGTCGTTGTCCTACGGCATCATCACGGGGGACACCAACGATTCTATAGACCCGCGCTCGAAGAGTCCCATGGCGCACGATTATGTTGGTCAGCCGGGCGTTGGACAAGAAGGGTACGGATCGACGCAGAACAAAGCGGAAGAGATGCCGAGCTACATCTTCCGAGCCTACTGTTCTCCTCTCCTGAATCCCTTCATGAACCTCCTGCTCATGCTCACTCTGATGCCGGCAACCCAGGGACTCCCCCGGAAGTACCTCGTGCCTGGACAGAAGAAGATGACCAGCAGCTTTGCAGCCTGAAGGGGGACAGCCGGTCCAAGTACTCGTACAAGCCGCTGGCCAAGAAGCTCAACCGGTCCATCGCGGATGTCACGCAGCGCTGGAAGAGTCTGGAGCGCCTCAGGAAGGTGAAGGAACAGCATCAGAAGGCCACCTGAACTTAGTCAGTGCAGCGACATGTCAAAATGCCCGCAAGTAGGCGAGCACAGGCAGGAGTTAAAAAAGCGACCAAATCACCCATCGAGAATCATGATGGAGGCGGCTTTCGGGACTTTGGGTTCTCTCTGGGTTTTCGGGTTCCGGGGGTTCGGTTTCTGTTTCTCCCCCTGCGGGGTGTGTGTGTGTGTGGCCCCCCTGTTCCTAAGGGGTTCTGCGGTTGTGTCTATTTTTGGAGTCGGCCGCCACCGCCTTGGACGATCTAGCATGGAGTAACTAACGCACTGCTGGCGGTCCGGAAGAGGAGAGTGCGTTAGCGAAAGATGTCTAGACTTCCTCGGTGCCGAAACTCCATTGCCCTGCCGGAGACCTTCAAACAGCCTGTGCCTGCATGGGGGTGCGCATTGTCAGTTTCGCCGTCTCATATCGTGTGTGTGTGTGTGTGTGTGTGTGTGTGTGTGTGTGTGTGTGTGTGTGTGTGTGTGTGTGTGTGTGTGTGTGTGTGTGTGTGTGTGTGTGTGTGTGTGTGTGTGTGTGTGTGTGTGTGTGTGTGTGTGTGTGTGTGTGTGTGTGTGTGTGTGTGTGTGTGTGTGTGTGTGTGTGTGTGTGTGTGTGTGTGTGTGTGTGTTCGTGCGAGCACGTGCGCGGACTGTGCTGATCCTCTTAGCGCGGACTGTGCTGAAGCACTCGTTGGACGTCTTGACAACGTTGACAGTTTATTGGCCAGCGCTGCCGCTTCAGCAACTCAGGGGCACTGTGGCACAATGTCCAGGCCCACGAGCTTCGAAAGGCAGACAAAATGGCTGTGGGTCAAAAATAGGTATCCAAAATGGAACCTTAGTAAATGGAAACATGGCTGCGGTCCGATTCCTAGTGGTTTAATTTTGACCCACACCCAAATGCGTGTGCTTGATGCGCGGGGCGCGCCTCGAGGCTCACGTGCAGATGTGGGGAGCGGTTTTGCGCACTATATCTAAGAAAGCATGGCAAGATTTCTGCAGACGACAGTGACCCTGGCAAAAAGGGAACCCTTGTTGGGGAAGACCATTTTTGGTGGGGCAGCCAGCAAAAAAAGGGGGAAGAAGGGGGGCTTTGCGATCTCATTTGGCAGATGCTGACCCCAAGAAGCTGAAAGGCCTTGTGTTTGTGCGGAGCCAGTCTTGAAGATTGTGCGGCAAACATGGCTCATGGTGCTGTCCTCAAAAGAGGAATTGCGCCGCGCGGCAATGCCAGAACCAAACCATTTTGGATGCACTTGCTGAAGATGCATCGAAGGCTGCAATCCTCCTCCTATGGCGCAATCACGGTCTTCGGGCCGGCGCAGTTTTGAGGCCGTGCAAGCGATCCTACCAAGGCCGGAAGAGCGGCCCCGTTTCTGTTTTACACAGAGGCCGTGTCGAATCGGCTTCCCGCTCGGCTGTGGAATTTCCCTTTGGAGTGCCGCCAAAGCGAGAGGAGAGAGAGAGAGAGAAAAAGAAAAAAAAGAAGAAGAACAAAAAAAGGGGAGAGAGAGAGAGAGAGAAAAGAGTGTATATATGTGGGTGTCTGCGTGTTGTTGTGCGTTCGTGTGCGTGCGTGCTTCGTTTCTTCGGGGAGGACAAGGCACCCATGTGTCATCCCCAAGCAATTCCAACCGATAAACTCCTGACCGACAAGGAAGCTTGCAGACATGGATTTTTAGGGGGGATCTGTATGCGTCAAGTCATTTTGCGGGTATGATGGCTTGTTTCTCTGAGTTTGTTGGGAAGGTGCCTGCTTGAGGTCACGCAGCCTGTAGTGACTCAGCCGGGTGCTAAAGACCGTGGACATTTTGAGACAAAGCTAGCACAACACGCTGCAGCACCACTGATTGCACCAAGCTAGGGCAAAAGCTTCAGAACCTCAGAAGTTTGGTAGCGCCGCAAATCCGAGGCAAGTCGTCTCGCGCAACTACCGTGACCTCGACTCCGGAGGCTCCAACCGGCCTTCGGCTGGCAAAGGACCGAAGAGATTCTCAATCACATTTTCCTTGGCCGCTAGGTTCCTCAGATCAGGGAAAACCCGCAAAACTCATACGCACGCCGCGCTTCATCCGGTGAGCTGGAATATCGAACGAAATCCTTCGAGTTAACCAGTCGCATTCATGTTTGGGCTGGGGTTTTGGCCATGCGTGCCTGCTCCCCATGTATGACATCAACCCGCTCCTCTTATCACAGGCTGGTGTCACTATTGGCAGCTTGTTAAGTTGTGTTGCAAGCCTTGTGTTTCAATGTCTGTTTCTTGTGTAGCAAAATGACCTTTCAGCCGGGGTCGTGGAAGCAACCTTTTCCACGCAAAAAGCTCTGGTTGCTCCTCATCTATTGTAACTCAAAGGAGCCGCAAAGCCAAACTTTTGCGAACAAAAATGCCTTTGCTTAGGCTTCGTCTGGCCTTCGTCTTCGTACAATGAGGAGACTTCGTGTTCACTAGCCGCCTTCGTTCTGGGGAGCCTTAATCTTATTCCAGTCCAATACAATCCAAGACATATCCCTCAAAATCTTTATAGCAAGGGCGCTCAATGGGATCGTTCCCAGGAAACAAATTCCAAACAGGTCTTGGCTGCGAGTTGTCTTGGGGAGGGGGGGCAATCCGAGGCGTGAACATGAATTACAACGTTGTCAAAGGTCGGTGCTAGGCATACAACACAAATCACCCTTGAAGAGCTGCGAGGACGAGGAAACATCCGTCACGTGCCGATGGCACGGAACGCATGGAGAACGGTGGCTATCCAGCGTGGAGAACTCAGAAGAGAACAAGGACCTGATTCAAGTGGCTGCAAGGACGCCCAAAGAAAGTGCGCTACGCCACTCTGTTGGTTTTGGCTAAACTCCTGTTCGCAATGCCAACTGCCTCAGAAGCTCCTTGGAACATGGCTCTGACTGCAGCTTGCCTTAGAAAATTGAAAGCTACTGCTGTGTGCGCTTTCCTGTGGCAAGCAACATGCTACCCCTCATTTCCTTGGGCCGAGAAGGTGTGACGTATGATTGCCTGCTTTCTCCATTTAATGTTATTATAGATTTAAACATATACTGGTTGGCAACATGCGGCCAATACACAAAGTGCCATTCCTCAGCGCCTCTGTGTTGCTTTTCAGTCCATATTTTGGGATTGTTACACACTACATCATGAGCTGCCCATGCAAGCCATGCCAGCCAATGCCAGCAGATCGGACAATGATGTTGACGTGACACAACCAGAACACAGCTTCTGTTGTTCATCTTTCCCTGCCACCAGCCCACAAAATACAACCCAGCAAGTGACTGTTCAAAAAAATAAACAGCAGGGTTCAACGCATCAGCTGATCAAGAACGACTGCATAAGAGATCGCTGTCATCCTGGCTCTGCCAAGGACATAAGCCTTTGCCTGCAGCAACTCTTGACATCTCAGAGGATTGCACCAACCACGGACTTGCAACTGGGGCCTTACAATAAGTAGAATTGTGACAAGGGACCGCTAGTGGCAAGAAGGTTACGGTCTCTCAAAGAAACAAATGCCAGGGCCACTCGATGAAGCGGCCATGTGTTCATGACTTGGGTATGGGTCAAAATTAAACCACCAAAGGACCGCAGGTCCGTGTTTCCATTGGCTTTGTTTTGGGTACATATTTTTGACCAACAGCCACTTGAACAGAGTTAAACCTTGCGAAACGAGGCACAGTCTCTCTGCGAATCATCCAGAGACCGGCAGTGGCTTATTCTCAAGTTTTGCAGGCCGCCCTTCACGCCCAAGCAGCGTGTCGAAATGCAATCTGCTCAGTGCAGAGCAGCTCTGCAGTCCTCTCCTTGCGTCTGGCTCAGCAACTCTCCCACATGTCAGATGGGTTCCTGAACTTGGCTACGAATCGAGCACATCAATTCCATGAAGGTTTTGGCAACCCATGAAATGTCTTCATTATTCAGGCAACGGGCACCAGAAAGTTCCGAACAGTTTCTCAATGTTTCTCCTGATTTGTGAGATTGATCGTTCGAGATCTAGAAGTCTTCCTTAAAACAACCACAATGGGTCAGCCATATGGCGTGGAACAATCAACCAAGGCCAACACATCCGCCACCGCAGGGTAATCTTGCAAAATACTTCCACATCGGTCAAACAGGGATCCTTACATTGTACACCTGAACATTGCCTTGTAAATGGTGGTTTCCTGTATTCTGGTGGAAAAAGCCATGCTTCAAATGGGCGAAATGCATCTTTTAAGGAGCCCTGTCAAACTTGCAACTTACATGTCGGCAAACATGCATCAAATACACAAGCAACCGGCATAATTGGCACAACAGAGTGTCCATTGCTTTAGCACGAACCGGACAAACTGTCTAAACCTCGAAATGTGTACTCAACGCGGGTCCAAATCATCCAATTGTCAACGGCAACAGCTTGCAATGTGTCAAACTCCCTTTCTGTGGCGCTCCATGAAAAAAGACAGGAAACTGTGCCATGTTGACGGCATCGGGAAACCTCCTAATAAATATGTTCTTGACGGTCTGCATCAGCAGTTTTCAAAGCCAATAGCTTAATCACAGTTGTCCCTCTTCGAAGCGGCAAGTCTCAGGCTCATGACAAGCCGTGTTGTCTTGAGGCTTTAGCTTGTACATGCCTACAACGATACGCAGCGGTAAGACCCAAACGAGAGGTCTCACTTTGCGTTGCCCCAACAAGTGATGTAAATTTTGGCTGAAAGGAACACCATGCTTGACTCCTGTGAGTTTGCCTTGCCCTCCAGCCGCCAAATGCTACGAAAAATGGCTCTAGGTCCTCCAGTAGAGAGGTTAGAATAGGGTACCCTTTTTCCCGTAGTCTATTTTAGTAGGGGAACCCTCCTCCAAAAAAAAGGTAAAAGGGCACTACTGGGTGGGACCTAGGACTGCTTACGCCTACAGATCTACAGGGCCGGTTTTGCTGCAAGGCGCAGAAGAGCCCCGCGATCTGTGACGTTCACGATCGCCTGCTCGATGGCCCGTTCCGCGCACGCCTGAGCGAAGCGACTTGGTAGCGCGGGTGCCAACGTGTTTCGGTTGATGCCGTTGATAGGAATGAAGCTGTTCAGCAGCTTCAACGAAGGACTCTACTGTAGTTCTAGGGGACGCTTCCCCATTCCTGCCAGGGATCCTTCTTTTCAGAAAACCGTCAGAACCCCGGGGGAAACAGCTGGTTCTTGAAAATAATGATGGTTGACAAGAATGGGGAATCAACCCCTGAGTAGTTGCACGAAGCGCAACAACCATCACTGGTCCATCACGACAAACAAGGCGAAAAGGCTCTCTGAATCCTATTCAATGAGGGAACATCGGTGGAGTCGCTTGAGTCTCTGAGAGAATTAGACCGCATGTGAGGAATGAGTGACATTCTCCAAGCAAAATCGAGAAACACTGTCAAATGTCACTGACACCAATGCATGGAACCTGTTCCTTAGAGGTCGCACAGTTCGGCCCCGCCTACAATCATGCAAGTGGACAAAGGCCCATGTGCAAACATGCAACGGTGTCTGTGACTGTAAGTGTCATCGGTGCCATCTGTCACATGCCAGGCGAGCGGCTGGCACATCACTGAAGCTCCTGGGCCGGGCGTGCACTGCTTCGCACAGAAAGCCGGGACTGAGTCCACTTGTGCTGCTGCGCGGAAAGCCCCAGTGAATCCAATGAAACAACTCGCAGCTGGGTCTCAACAGAAAAGATGAACCGCTAGCAGACATTGCCTCGCAAATCGCTAGCAACCAGTGGCAACTGCGCACAAACCCACACAATTGCTGAAACAAGTCGCTTGCAAATACAAAACTGGCAGCTACTCTGCATGTCAAGACACCTGTCCTTGTCGCATTTACATGAAAACAACGGAATGTATTTGACAAGCATTGCTGCTCGGAGTTTGACGGCCGTGTACGAGCACAGTCTTGGCAAGCTGCTTGAAAGCAACGGCTCTGTAACTACGAATCACCCCCTATGCATGCTCCGCAAGCAAGGCCCTCAAATCATTAAATCACATCGACACAGAAACTAGCCCAGGGGCCAGCAGGCCGACGTGCTCTGTATCCCTTGACTTCCAGACTCCCAGATTCCGATTGGTGGGTTCGATGAGTTGAAACCCTTTGCACCAACCTTCTGGAAGGGCTAAGCAGAGCCGCAACACTCAGAAGAGTCTGTCTTGGCCGACTGGCTTCACCCGAAATCCATTGGCATGGAGGCCATTGGAGTTGGAGATGCTGTCTCGGGTTCTCCGAGCCTTTCTTCGCCCAAGGACGTTGGGGGGATGCCAGAGGCTGCAGTTTCGTACCCTGAAAAGACGTGTTGTGGTCGGGGCGACTCAGGCTTGGAAGGCTTGTCTCGGGTCCTGGGACCCGAGGGTCGCCAGGGATATGCCCCAGCCAACAAAAATCGGAACTCAGGGCTAATGTTGACCCCGGATTGATAAACCCATGTTTATTGATATGGGGGGGTTTGCCTCCAAAAGTGATCTTCCCCACTACAAACCAGGGACACCCCCCATATTAACAACAAGGGGTTCATTAATCCGGGGTCAACATTAAACCAAGAGCTCCCACAGGCAATCTTAGACCATGCTTTTGAGAAACACCCCCACGAGGAAAACAGCCAGCCCCGGACAGGCCCACTGACCGATCCAGCAGGTACACTTGGACGGGAAGGAAAAACGATGCTCCCCAGCAGTGGGCTTGCACAAAGATCAGAGGTGCGCGAGTGTGCAAAGAAAGGGCAATCAACCGCCGCTGTCAAAAACCCACCACACCAGCGGCCGTCCTCAACACAAACTTGTTTCAGCCATGCGCTCAGTGAGCTTCAGGCTCCAGCACCTCGTAGTCTTGTGACAACTTTGTGTCCTATGGAACAGCTCGCCTTGATAGGGGACTCGAGTGGTTGAGGCATCAAGATTTGCATCTGGTAGACTTTAGCACCCCTCACTGTGATAGCTTTAGTGATCGCATTGGTGTCGTGCAATGCCCAAGTCAAAACCACTGGTCACCAACAGCATTCATGAGCATTGAGCGACGTCTTGTTCTGCGGGGTGGGCCTGGCCAGCTACAATGCGTTGCAGGATCTCGAGAATCATGTTTCTGACAAACGCAAGTGAACATTGGGGGAACCTCTCACACTCAAATGATTCAGAGTCTAGACGTTACGTGAGCTCCCAGGCCATGACATTCCAATTCTCAACCATCTAAGGTGTTGCTACAATTCTCCAAGCGCCTTGCCTTTGGAGTGTCAAAACAGGGCAAGTCCAACCAATCGCCGCGCGCCATGTCTCTGCCGACATCTCCCCACCTGGCTGAAAGCATCTCCAGCAGCTGCTTCATCTCATCAGTGATCTGCACGCAGCGGGGGCGAGGTTCGGGAGGTCCAAGCAGAAAAATGGTGCGCCAGCCTTTTAGCCATACCTGCAACTTCCGGAAGGTTGATGTTTTGGGCCATTTGGCGAAAAAAACATATGTTTCTGCCGTTTCGAAAAGCAAGCGCCGTTTGCCTACAAAACTGTAGTGTCACAAAATACCACTTGGAAGCCCGTCCAACGGTCGGGACAAATTTTGTTTGGACCGGCCAAATTGCCGCTTTGATTTGGCAAGTGACCGCCTGCAATGCTCAATTTGCAAAAGCGTCGTTTCGCAACAAGAGTGACATCTCGATGAAACATAGTTTCCAACCTTAGCTTCAATTCAACCACACCAGTCTTCTGCGCCTTCTGAAGGTCAATATTTCTGATAGACTAGCAAACCCCCGCCGAAGCGCCCAACGAGCATTCATGCGATTGCCAAAAGAACAGCCAGGCCAAACGTGAAGACTTGCGGCTTCGGGAGCCTGCAAAGCGTTGACGAGGTGAGCGCCCACGAGAGTGTCTTGCTCCTTTGCCTGCAGCCTGAGCCCGCCAAAGGGCCAAAAGGAGCACGTGACAAGAACTCTCCAAATGGACAGGAACTAGGTCCTCCAGTAGAGAGGTTAGAATAAGGGTACCCTTTTCTCTGTAGGGGAATCCTCCCCCAAAAAAGAAATGGTAAAAGGGGACTTAGCCGGGGGACCCTGAGAACATGGCGCCCAAAGTGCCTGGGCAAGAAGCAGAAATGGACGCGGTCGAACAAGCTCACCGAAAGATTCCAACCAGCCGGTGAGACTCATTCAGGGAGGCTGTTGATTCTCTCCAAACCACAGACCTATTTGTGCCATGAGAAAACATGAAATTTGTCGTGAAACATGGCATCATCATCTACCTAAGGAGTCATTTGTACCGCAAATGAAAAAGCATTGCGTAAGCATTGCTGCAGCTAGCAGCTCGCTCCGCTTGTGCAACCGACATCATCTAAAACCCGGACACCGCCATTGTGTTTCTAAGTTGCCCGGGTCACCACGCAAGATCAGAGCTTCTGATAGGCGAGCAGAACTCTGCGAGTGCTCATGCGCTGATGTCATTCTGGGTAAGAGGTCCAAGTCTCAATGCTCACATAGCCGGTATGTTCCATGCAGAAAGTTCCCGTGCTTGGCCATTTGAGACAACACTAGGTCGCTAACATACTGTCAGACAAGGTCATTGCTGACAAGTCTGTCCCTGCCCATACTTTACCTCGATACCAAACTTCCACATGGTACTCATTCAGCAATACAAACGCTCCAAGCACAGAGTCTAGCACATGATGGGCAACCCCGATCTGCCAAGCCTAATTCTATCCAATTCTATTCGCAAGGTGCATGACATCCGCCAGAAGGATCAAATACCCGCTTTGTGTTGAATGAGCTTTGCACTTAAAAGGGTCGTAGCGGCCCTGCGAACAACGGTATTGGATTTCAGTCACGACTGCCGCTACGGCGTAATTGACTTCGGCTTCAAAATGCAGTTGGATGCTAAGTATTCACCACATACCGTCCGCTTCGTTGCCGAGCAATCAAATGCCTTCTTACAGTCTCAAGCAGTACCTCATCCACTGGCAAAACTTCCCTCTGCAAATGCCAGCCTGCTGCGAGTGGCGAAGAGCAATCTGCTTTTCAGTTGGTTCTAGGTACGCCGAGGTCGAAAGTGGCAAAGTTGCAACCTTTCCTCCTAGGATAATGCAGTTGAGCTATCAAAGAGGTCAGGTAAAAACCATCAGGACGCACCCTGCTTGAATCTGCGCCATGCCATTTGTCTGAGCGTCTGATTGCGATAGTCCAACTGAAGTTGACGCAGCACGTCGCCCACAATTTTGGCCAGGGTCTCAGCCGATTGACAGTGTTGCTGGCCATGAATTCTTTCAGCACATTTTGTCGTTGTCTCATAACTCGTTCGTGTAACCTATTTTGCAGCGTTCTGCTCTCCTCGTTTCAACCCACGCTTTTGGTATTTTGGTGTGCCTTTCCTACAAGCACATTACGTGCCACAGGGGGGAGTCCCAACATGTCCCTGCACACGAGAATCCCTACGATTCCAAAGTTGATACTTCTTGACTGCTTGGAATAAATCAAATGCAAAAGCCAAAGCAGGTTCAACGCTAAACCTAAGGTCTAAGAAGCAAAGGCGTTGACATCGAACAACATGGCAGGGGCACCCCTTTCTGAAAGATGATGGTGTGCTTACTTGCCTTGATTTCCCGAGCATCTACAAGCCAGTGCCTGCACTTCTGACATCAATTCGCAGGTTCTCAATTATGTGCACCGGATGATGGGGATTCTACTTGGGATGCGCTTGCAAATGGGGTGATTTCAGGCCAATGGTCAAAGGCGGTCTTTGATGGTCTTTGGGCGGGCTGAACGGCTGCCAAAGAACGGCCATGAGATCTTTGCACCGGCTCGTCACTGTCTTTCTCTCGTGAAAGGTGTGCCACGCACTCACATAGCGGCAGAAGCAAAACAACAGCTAACCCTCATCTGATTCGGAGCTGAACAAAATGTCAACCTTTCCCCATGCTTTGGTCTGCGACATTCAAGAGTTCAACTCGAACACTGACTGGAATCGACCGTATTGTCTTACAAGTCCTGGCACATTAACTACCACTTCAGAATAGAACCCTCTCATGATCTCAAGATAGTATTGTTAGTCTCCTAGATCTCCGACGATATTATTCCTTCTCATCGGTTTGCAGAATGCTCCCCGGTTCTGAAACTCAAGGGATGTGCCTCCAATCAACCAATAGGCGCAGGGATGCGTTCCTCCCAATCGGGTGTTGCCCGACGTTAGAGACCACTGCAAATTCTTGAATTGTCTCAGCTTCCCACTAATTAGAAACAGCAAACATGACGAAACATCCGCAAATTCGCAAAGAAACTCCACATTATTTGCATGCAACCTAAAATTGGCGATCAAGTAGAGCAGCTTCATGTGTTTGGCTCGTTCCTCCCGCCCATTTGCTGCCCATGACTGAGAGCGCGCGCGCCTCTTGCGGGATCAGGCTCGCGATGTCGGGGCTAGGAGTTTCGCTTCGGTCCCAGAGCTGGCGCAGGAAACGCTCCTGTGGTTAACCGCGACGCACCCACTTTAGGTCTAATTAACTGGGCTAGTTTAACTGGAAAATTGAAGAAAACAAGGAAACCAAAGGAAACCAAAGGAAGGGTGCCGTAATTCTGAAACAAAACCATCGAAAGCGGAGTTATACAGGCGGGTCGTGCTGTATGGACAGAGAAACGACAAACAAAGAATGGTTTGCCGCTTGCAATGTGCTGGAACTATTGTGGCGTGCGCTTTATGTGCAGCAACATACACCAGGCTGCTTTTCAAAACTTGGAGCTGGAAGACTCAACAAACTGCGAAGGTATCTTAGTGACAGTGCAAAGCCCAAAGAGTAGCGCTCTCCTAATTGTCGCCTGGCAAAAGCTTTCAATCAGGCCCCCAAAACACTGTTGTCCTTTTGTCGCTGGCTGTCGAATGTAGAAGCCCAAAACAACGGGCACAACGAACCTTGGCAACTTCGTTTGGGTACATAGCTCTTTGGCCACCAAAACCCAAAGCAAAACTTGGGACGGTAGTTCAAGCTTTTGCGGATGCTTCCGCACTTGCGTGGGCCCAAGATTTCCTTCCAAGGAGAATGTTGCTTCCGCGAGTATGGCTCGCCATGTCTGTGCATTTAATGATGAAACCTTCAATTTGAATCCCCCCTCCTCAACTCCAAGCACTTGAAAGCATTCACAAGTTGCCAGCTGCACGCATCATCCACGGGAGCTCCAAAAGCCCAGAATTCTGCGGTGGAAGGGTATCACCTGTCACACAAATATTCAATTTATTTGTTTGATGGGCGCTGTTTGATTGTATGCAAAATGATTGAGTGGGAATGTTGAACCTTTGAGCTTACATGCTCAAAATGTGAAAGGAACAACATTTTGGACTTAGAGCTTCATGTGGGATCGCTGTTCGCCCAAAAACAACGCCAGTGGAAGATTAGAACTTCAGTCTTCAAACCTTCACGCTAATTCATCATGAGTGTTTAAAGCTTTTGGAGATCAGCTGCTCCAAACTGATGTAAGTGCTAAACCGCAAAACACTCCGCCCTGTCTGTTGGCAAAACAAACGCTAGACACATCGAACATACCGTATATCTGCCAGGGCTTTGTAGAGGGTGGGTTGGGTTTAGGGCTGCCGGAACCGGACCCTCATTTGGCGTGGATGCATCCGTTGACTCTGGTTACATGCGCATGCTGCTCTGGCCTGAGCCACGACTCAAACTACGGGAACCGTGCGCTGAGCACGCTATTCCTCAAGCATAGCAGGCCTTTGCCACAATCTAACTTGACAATTGGCACATCCCAAGTGATCCTATATATGCAGACAAGAACGACCCCCCGCCCAACAGGTGTCAGTTTATGTCAGTTTCACACTTCTGCAGTCCTCCCGCTCTTGGCAAAAGCCATCTCTCGCCTGCATGGGCGGTCACGACTGCGTGGATCACAGAAACGTCAAGGGGTCAAGAGATGCTTTTCGAAGGGCTGGTCTGTCAGTTGGTCTGGTCAAAGGACAAGGAACATCTTGTGCACCATCTGGAACTGCATGACAGGTGTGTCTTGGATGAATCAAATGAAGAAGGGAGCAAACAACTGGCCCTCCCCTGCCCCCACATCAGCTAGTCATACGACGGTGCTTGATACATGGCAATTAAAACTGCTCTGAGTCTCTCTACCTTGTCTACCCTGCTTTCATTTGATCACTGCCCAAGTAGGAAGCAAACTCAGTGGCGCTGTGATAGATCACAACTACAACATACAAAGACTAAATGTTCATGGCAAGCACAGCAAAGATGGAGAGTGACATTGCCATTGCAAAAAGCCAAGGCAAAGCCCCTGCGCAACAGGCATCCTTCCGTCGTTGCTTCAGCTGCAAAGGGTTCTCGGGACATCCCGATGCATAGAAGCTAAAATGTGCCCAAAGGGTACTCAAAGCCAAGTCGCGCGGGAAAAGTTCGAGAAACCTGATTATTTATTTTCTGCGGGGACAGTTCTGATTACGGTCCATTCTAGGCCAGTGGAATCTCAGCCGGGGCCGCATTGATGAAGAACTTCTTCATGTCATAGCTGGTCATCCTGTGGAGCCAAACGTTGGCCGCAGGCGCACCCGCAAGCTTCTCATCGATCCTGGGCAAACACACGAGGCAAGAAACGACAAGGGCAAGTAAGGGACGTCATCATGGATGACGTTGTTTGACTCCCTTATCAAGGATGCCAGTATGTGCTCAAAGCCATGCCGTTCATAGGCTCACGATGCTTTGAGAGTGGCTAACTTCCCAATGCTTATGCCAGGATTGTGTCCCCACCAAAGGCTGCAAAAACAACATGGCCAAGTAGCTGTTCCCGAAAACCGTCCAATGCACCAAACTTACTTGATACTTTTCGGGTTGGCAGCTCCAGCTGTGAAGACGCAACATTTCAGGAGTAGTGTGCAATGTAAACGTCAGAAGCTCTGGTTCGGAAATCGCAACTTACCAGCACGAACGCAGTGTGTGAAGCACACGAGCTTCAGCTCCTTTAAATGGGAACTGTTCGCGTGTAGCATACGCAGTACACTGTTGCAGCTCCAGCTCAGAAAGCGCATCTTTGGAGTACCAGCGCAGTCGCAGTATGCAAAGTAACCTTTGGCAGCTCCAGCTCGGCAATCGGAACTGCCCAGTGCAAGTCCGATACATCAAGTGCACTTTAGCAGCTCCAGAAATCTCAGCTTTTCAGCATCCACTTCAAAAGTCGGCAAGTGTTCAGTAAGACCATACAGAGTACAATTTGGTAGCTCACAGGTTTTGTTATTGATTGGCTGTTCTCGTCTTGCAGGAAAAGCCTCCGAAGCAACAGTCAACGGAATATCCATTCATATTTCTTAGGTGCATCCTCTTGAAAGCCCTCAAAAGTGGCGCATCACAAACTCTGTGCCTTGCATCAGGCATGCATCACCGAGCTGTCCAGCCGAGCTGCTCGGGGTGGTCATTCTTCGTCGCGCCCATCGGCATAGAAATCCCCCACGGAGCTTCCTGGCGACGACTGGCGAAGTTGCCAAGTGCGGGGTCTTCGCATGCGTGTTCTCTCAAACCTTTTGCTACCCAAACGCTCCTAAGGCTTCCAATGGAAGACCCAGACCCTCCATTGGACACCCCAAAGGGGCTTTGGGGTCTCAAAACCTGGCTGTCGGAGGTCCCAAAATACATCGGCAGCGTCTGGGTAGTGCGTTAAAGGTTTAAATGGGCACACAAGGAAGCGGTGGCTACATGAGCGGGAATGGGAGCAGAATTATAGATCTGCTCCCAAAACCGTCCTGCATCCCTTTCCGAGTCCTTTGCTTCTTCGAAAGCAGCTTCTTGAAAGCCTACTGGCAAAAGTCGTGGGAAGGAAGAACGGAAGAAAGGAGGGAGGGAGGGCAGAAAAGGAAGGCCAACGGAAGAAGGAAGAAAGCAAAAGATAGCCTGAAGGGAAAGCACCTGCAATATACAAGCCTTGAGAAAAGAGCCAACCTGGCGCCGCATCAGTTGCTCACACTTCGCAAGCCAGTCTCCGTCTTGGACCTCATTGCCATCATGGAAAAAACACGCATGCAGTGTATGTCCTGTCAGTCAAAATGCAACGAGGGGTTGGATTGTGCAAGTGAAAGCACACGCTTTCTTACCTCATGCAGCCTCATGCCGCAGCAAGCCGAATTGCTATCTTTGGGCTCCAGAGAGTGAGGGGCAGCATGTGCGCAGGCATACTGACCGTCAGATCTCATCCAAGCAGCTGCAGCGCTCTGGAAGAAAGGTACCATAGATTGGCATCCGTTGTTTGGAATGAAGCGTGAAGCCCTAAGAGTGGCTGAAATTCCACAAGGTGCATGCACACAACCAATAACACCACCGCACAATCTGGGCGCATTATAATATTTCACCAACCTGAAACAAGGTTGTTATAATTCACCCAGGCACAATTTTTCCTCCGGTACTTTCTCAGATGCCCAGTGGCCATGGGAAAAATAGTGCACCGTTTTTGGTTGGTTGACTTTCAAGGAATCGGAACCCTTCCCAAAAACAAACGAAAAAAGCGCGCCACTGGGCAACTGGGTACCTGTTCCAACTTTTACTTGTGAATGGCAAGCTCTGGGCACCACTGGGCAACTGGGCTTTGAACCAGCACCCGTAGCTGTTTCTTGAGAAAAAAAAAAAAAAACGTCCTCGCCGAACTGCTGCGGCTCCCAGCTGGCAGTCTCCGCGGTATCTCCCACCTGCACAGCAGTCTTGTGCCGCGGAAGCCGCGCCCAAAAGACAACAGCGGGCCCTGGTACAGGGATCCTTACATTCTACACCTGAACATTTCCTTGTGAATGGTGGTGTTCTTTATTTTGGTGAAAAAAAACATGTTTCAATCGGGCAAAATGTATCTTTTAAGGAGCCCCCTGGTAGTGCGCTTTTTGCGGCGCTTTTGAGGCTTGCAGTCTTCTCATGGGTCAGCCATGTCAGGTGCACTTGATCTAACACAGGAAACATGTTGAGAAAACAAGAAAAAACCAAGCAAACTCGAGGAAAACCAAAAAACAACTCGGGAAAACAAAAACAACACATGGTTTGGGAACTCTTGGTGCGCAACCCATGTTGAAAGAGTTCTGGAAACAGGTTGTTTTGTTTGTTTCTTGTTTTCCTCGAGTTGTTTTGTGTTGATTGGTTTTCTCGAGTTTTTTCTGGTTTTCCTTGAGATGTTTTTGTTTCTTGTTTTTTGGTTTTCTCGAGCTTTTAAAGAGGTTTTTATGTATCTGATGGGTCCTCCTCTGTTCTTGGCTGTGGTGCATGGTTTATTCAGTTACACAGCAACCTAAAGAACACCAAAGCAACAAAGGAACATGATTTAGAAACTTTTTGTTGCGCAACCCATGTTGAAAGAGTTCTGGACACATGTGTTGTTTGCTTTTGTTGGTTTCCTCGAGTTCTTTTTAGTTGGGTTTTTCGAGGTTGGTTTGGTGTTTTTTTGGTTTTCTCGAGGTTGTTTTGGTTTTCTGTCTCTATGTTGGGTCTACATCTGTTCTCGGGCTTGTCTTTTGTTTTCGAGGCAAATTGCAAGAAATTACTGGCTTGCTTGTCTTTCCTTATTAGATCCTATTTAATATCCAGTTGAATTCTACTTCAAGTCCTACTTGCAAAGGAATTCCTAAGTCAAATCAATTTCACAGTGCGAAATCTAATAAATTCCTTTTAAGCATCCAATGAGGTGTAAGAAGTCTATGTAAACTAGAATCAAATCGAATTAAAATTCTAGATCCTTGGAAATTAATTCCTATCCAAAATTTGACTCAATAGATATAATTGAGCTACTCAGAAGAAACAACCAGCTTGAATTTCCTTACTAGCTTTTATTTATTTGTGATTTCTCAAACAGTACTATTAAGTTTTGGAGATGAGTTCCTATTTGGACTGGGAAGGAATTTCTGTCTTGTCTTCGAATTCAAGTCTAATCGAACTCACATGCGCACATACCAAATCTGATATAGCATCTGAATTGGAATACGAGTTGTTGTTAAACTACAATTGAAGTCTTACTTGGAAGGAAAGTGATATTTAGCATCTAGTCTAAAAAACATTTCGAAGTGAACTCTATCCGATATCCCATTTAAATTTAAAGCTTTGCAATCTAAAACTTGCAAACCAATTGGAGTAGAATTAGCATTTCCCGTGGGTTTTACTGTTTTTTACTCCTTTTGAGGGGCTTGACACTAGAAGAAACACCGAGCTTGTTTCTCCTTTTTAGTTTCTACGTGCCTTGTTCATTCCTACTTGGAAGGAAGCCCTACGTTAGTTCTAATTCAATATACAATGTTTAAATTATTCTAATTAAAGCATGATTCAAACCTCAAGCTTGGCAATGCAATTCTTGTAAACCACTAGAGCTGAATCACATTGTCCTTGCGCTTCTGGTCGTTCACTCCCTTTAAGGCACAGGCAAAACAGCGGAAACAACAAGCTTGTCTTCCATACTGGAATCAATTGGAGTTCTATTTTAACTCTAATGCCAAACAGGACTGAAAGAAAGATGCTGAGAGAATTGCAGCTGCTGTGGCTTGAATGAGCAGCAGCAGTTAGCAGCATGTTACAGAATCGAAAGTAGAGGACCCCGTTGTTTGACTGGTTTCAGAAATCGCGAACTTTCTAAAGATATACAACCTCAAAGTCACAAACAAGTGTACTACCACAGTCCCCCAGTCTCAAAAAAACGGCCGAAAGAAAGTTCAGGTCTTTCCAATAGAGAACGCCTGGGCTCCATGTTGCTTCTCGATCGAGCCGATGCTTGCACAAACATGTCGCATGTGCTTTTGCTTGTGCAAACACAGGCTAAATGCACTCAAGAAAACAAGACATTGAAAGCTACGTTGGGCAAACATTTGCAGCAGTCAGTTTCAATCCAATTGATGGCGTGGTGCTTGTTTGATTGACAGAAAGCCGCCATACTGGCCCGCTCTGGAGGAGGCATAACGAAAGTTTTGTAGATTGGGGTATTTTCAGCTGCTTGGCATTTATCGACCTTCTCAATCGGAGCAAGCAATGCCGAAGAACTGACAATGTCGCATTGTGAAAGAGCGCAAACCGTAAACACTACCAATACTGTCAAGCCCTGATTCCGAGTCTTGGGTAATCAAGCAGCAACAAGTGAAGGGGGATGTGCCTCTGACCACCGTCAAATAAGACTTGATACAAAGAATGACTGGTCGCGTCTTCAACACACAAGTGACTGTCGTGCGCATCCCTAAAACAGTAAAACACTGCAATTCGGCAATCAACCTTCCAGAGCCCTAATCATCGAACTCGAACTCCTGCTGGTGCTCAGTAGGGACTGAGGGGGGGTCCCCTTAAAGGAAACCACAAGGGATGGTTCATAGGGGTCAATGTCCACATAGGATTAATAAATGCACTCGAAACATCATGGGGGGCCCAAAAAGATTAGTAAATGCACCTGGAATAAAGACAAGCACCTGCTACCCGCGCCAAAAAACTCCCCACAAAAAAATAAAGAGAGAAAGGAGAGGAGAGATAGCCAAGCCAACACCTGGTCCTTGGATCTTTGGTACCTTGTTCCTAAAATCCCAAATTGTCAGCTTTACCAAACCCATGTTTTCTTACATGTCTCTTGTTGAAAACCTGCCCACAATCAAACCCACAAAGGGGGTAGTACTTCAGCCCCCAACTTGACATTATTTCAGGGGCCCCCGAAATAAAGTCTTGTTGCCTGGCCCCCTGAAAAATACAACCTGCCCAGTGCAATTGCCTCTTAGCTAGTCGAGTAATTAGACAGCCTAGGTGAGGCTGGCAATGCTTCATGCTGTGTTGCTAGATTTGGGCCTGCTCCTCAAATCCAAAATTGTCAGCTTCACCCAAACCCGTGTTTTCTTACATGTCTCTTGTTGGAAACCTGCCCACAATCAAACCCACACAGGGGCAGTACTTCAGCCCCCAACTTGACATTGTTTCAGGGGCCCCCGAAATAAAGTCTTGTTGCCTGGCCCCCGCAAGGAAAACAAAAGGAAGCTCCAGCAGTACTAAATCAAATGGAAACTCAAGTCCACAAATACTAAATCAAATGGAAACTCAGTTCCAAATCCCAAAAGGAAGCTCCAGCAATACTACATCAAATGGAAGCTCAAGTCTACCAATACGAAATCAAATGGAAACTCAGTTCCAAATCTCAAAAGGAAGCTCCAGCGATACTAAATCAAATGGAAACTCAGTTCCAAATCCCAAAAGGAAGCTCCAGCAATACTACATCAAATGGAAGCTCAAGTCTACCAATACGAAATCAAATGGAAACTCAGTTCCAAATCTCAAAAGGAAGCTCCAGCGATACTAAATCAAATGGAAACTCAGTTCCAAATCCCAACAAAAGCTCCAGCAATACTAAATCAAATGGAAACTCAAGTCTACCAATACTAAATCAAATGGAAACTCGCTTGAACTGGATTTCAAGATACTATTCCAGGTGCCCCCATCGTTGAGGGGGGGGGGACCCCGTTTACTAGTCCCAGGTGGCCATTAGTGAGCTCCAGCAAGTACTAAACTTGTGTTAAACATCGGCTTTGGGAAGAGTTCTGGGCGGCAAGGCCCAAGCCACCTCCTCAAATGAGAGCCCATGCGCCCTTATTGCAATATATATCTGAAGCCATGGGCTCCTCCCTCACCGAGACGGTTCAAATGACGGGATCCTCAGCAAAGGAAAGCGCAACTAAAGTAATTATATAGTTGACACTTATCTTGCACTACAGGACTGACAGGGAACCTGAGACAAGTTGCTTCAAAAAAACACTCCTTCTGCAACCGGAACTGCTGGTCAGCTTTGGCACGTCCCTTCGAGCGCGTCACTGCAGTGGATTCCCCGATCACCTCGAACACGAATGAAGCAAACAATGTTCCTTACTTGCGCCCAAGTCATGTAGAAAACAATAAGCTTCCCCGGTAGCCTTGGCTTGAAGATCATCCTTCCCTCTTTGCTTCCTCGGCCCCGTGGCGTAACAATGGTCATACCCTCTGCCTGCCTTCACCTCCAGATCCACCGACTTCAGGGCAGAACACTCTTTCTGCGATTGCGTCACCTAAAGCGCCGAGCTGAAGAACATGTGCTGCAAGCCCCAAGCCAGTCAGCCAGTAAGCGCGATAAACTAGAGCTGAGCGGCTGAGCACCAAGATGTATTCAAATTCATTGTCATATGCCCCACAAAGCAACCATTCAGGGCCAAGGGTTTCTGGGCACTCAGATCCTTCTGAATTCTGTGGGGGGCTGGTAGCGCAAAGCTGGCAATACGCACCTATACTACTAAAGTACATATGCAAACAGGACGTTGCGTGCTGCAGTAGTTCTTCTGTCGCCTCGGCCCCAAGGGCCGGGAAGTGATACGCGGCCAGCGTGGCCGGCGCGTGGCCCGAACTAGAGCCGTACGGCAAGCCCAGGGAATGAGGGGTGGCTGCAGCGCCAGCGACACGGCAGCGTTGAGACCAATGGAAAGCCACGTGGCCCCAGCTCCCTTGCCCTTGCACTACGTCTGTGGCTGTCCTGCAGTGAGCGGATACTTCCTTGCCAGCTAGTCAGCTTCCCCACGCCTGGCCCTAGAGTAAGAACGGAGATCAGAGGAAGCCTCTACATCAAATAGCCCATGGCCGAGCTTGCGTTTGCAATTAGACAAGCAAGTTTAACAACAATTTCCGCAGTCCTGGAACCAATTGAGTCAGCGTTTTTGTGAATGTGTGCTGTGCGCGGAGAAAAACAGAGAGCAGAGAGAAAAGTCAAGGCAACAAGATAGGACAAATAAAGGGAGGAGACAAAACGAGCCAGAAAGAGAGAGGTGGGAAAACAGAAACACTGAAGGGGCAACAAGCGCGCTCCGAAGTATAGTTCTTACATGTTGAAACTTCCGCCCTGCTCTGTGGACCTTCCTGGTACAAGATCCTCAGCACAATGTGCACTGCTTGGATCATGTATTTCGGCGGGGCAGCAATGTCAATGACTGTTTTAACAAACACATATATCATATATCATATAATATGCAATACTCCCCATGGTCAAGGATCAAGTGTTGGTTTGTGTGTGTGTTTGCGTGTTTCTTGGTGCGTAAGTTTATGTTGAAACTGTGATTGTGTGTGTGTGTGTGTGTTGCAACAATTGTGGGTATGTGTGCTAGGAATTCACGACACGCTTGGGCACAAATAGAAAATACGGATCAAAGCTTTCACGCACGTTGTCATAGACATGTAAACAAACAAACACACGTGCACACAAAAGAGCAAAAACATGAAACCCACCCACACACACACACACACACACCAAACCCCGCAAACGCGCACACGCACACACACACACACACACACACACACACAGAAGCACATGCCATAAACATAGCAAGAACGTGCTCTTACTAGCGACCTGGACCCTGTTTTACTACTGCAGTTGAACAGTTCCTTCGTCACACGTTTACCCATGATGTATTCTACAGCGCCTCGAAGCGTGCCTTCCACTTTGAAACGCCTAGACCAACCACAAAGCGAGCACGCAGAGTGAATTTCCTGGGCTGTCCGCTCAAGCTCATGAACAAACAAAAAAATACGCATGAAACCAACACAAACAAGCAAGCAAGCAAGCAAGCAAGCAAGCAAGCAAGCAAGCAAGCAAGCAAGCAAGCAAGCAAGCAAATACACAAACAAACAAAAACCCTCACAAGCAAACAAACAAACAAATAAGCAAAAACCAACAAAGAATACCCACACATAATAACATACAAACCACACACATGCACACATACGCAATTCGGGTGCCCTTGCCCGGGCACTAGGAACGGCGCTTGCGCCGATTTCCACTGAACATCACTGCTACTCAATCGACATATTGCGAGCATGGCACGAACAGGCGCTGGCACGAGAGTGTCGTGGCCTGGCACGTGCGCTCAATGACTGTGGCTTCTCGTGGATGTGACTATTCTAGAAACCACAGGTGAGTCATACTCAAAACCCGGTATGAAAATTGTCGACCCAGAACCATGTAAGGAAATACAAAGGCGGCCGCAACTATTTATGGCTGGGATTGTCCCTTACTAACCTTCATTTACCCGGGTTTTGATTGTGGCTCAGGTGGCGGTCCACCTAGAATGCCCCACGGCAAATCACCTGTATTGTCAGCCATGTCATGAGTAAGATATGGTGGGTGATAAGTGGACCCTCCCATGATTTGTTGGTAACTGACTTTCCCAAATGGCGCTTAATGCAGCCCAACCAGTGCACATGTCTGCTGCCGACACTCTGTCTAACTGGCAGGCAGTCCAAGAGGCATCACACATACTGGATGCATCCTGATGTTGCAATAGACCGCAAGCACGGTTCGGCAAGCTGCTTCGAATATAATGAATCTGTTGCTATCAATTACGGAAGCCTGCTTTAGGTCATTTGATGCATCAGAACAAAACAACCAGGTGAGGCGTCAGCCACAGAGTTGCCAGGCCCATAACCCCGACTGGAGACTTCAACAAGTCCTGGCCCTGTCATCGCGGAACACTCACCACATATTACACACCACAGCTGTTCTCGCGCTTAAAACAATGCAAAACATGAATAAATAAAAGTAAAACACTGATCATTAGCAATGATTTGACAACACATATCCAACCCTGTGACTGAAAGTACGACGGTCCTCTAGTCCATAGCTGCATAAGGGGTATTCTGTCGAGACATATGACTCTCCTTGAGGCTTGCAAACAAATAGGCAGCCAACCGCATGTATACAAAAGATACCCAACCTCCTGACTGAACTGGGAAAAAACTAACCGCTTTCTGTGTTGCCAGTAGGGCATATCGACTCTCGGGTATGCCCAATTGCTAAAGTGCTTTACTAATGATCCGATCCAGAAGTTTATCACGGCTCGCCTGTGGCTGCTTCGACGTCCGCATGCTCGCCTGAAAGAGTCAAACGCCCAAACGCCTACAGGAAGGTCGCACGTGTTTTTGATTCGCCTCGCTTGGGCCCAAAGTGCATGACCACTTGATGGTATTTTATGCATTCAGGTCTCAAGCAAGGACTTACAGCCGAACGGAGACGTAATTCTGACGCAGTGGTCCTCTTCTTGCCATTGGATCGGGCAAAACATGCAGCACCCCCTTGTTCTCACGACAAGCAAAGGAGGAAAGCTGGTGAAAGCTAGCCTGCTCGCACCCGGCTTTCAGACCTCTGTTTGGCCATGGTGCTGGGAAATGGAACTCGTCGCGGCTGTTGTCGAGCTGCATGGGAATGGCGAATTCCTGAAATGGCGAGCAACTTCCACACCCCTATGCGCAGCCCTCGAAGCTTGATTGAAAATGAGTAGCAAGACTGCGCTTCATAGAACAGAGCACACACACACACGCACGCACGCACGCACCCACCCACACACACGCACGCACGCACGCACGCACGCACGCACGCACCCACCCACCCACACACACACACACACACACGCACAACACCCACAAAACGCAAACGGGGTGTACCATACGTACTTCCACTCATGAGCCAAAAGCTTTCCAGCGCGCAAAAAACAAAAGCCACAGGACATGAGGTGCCATGCAACACCCGCAACACAACCCGCCTGGAAGGTTTTTACTGTGAGCTGAACGAAGGCCATGGTATCCTTCCTGGCGGATGGTTTCTACACTCCCTCAAACTAACATGGAAGCTCCCAGAGGGCCACTGTTAATGGAACCAAGTCTTCTAAAGTAGTCCTGGGAGCTTCCATGTTAGTCTGAGGGAGTGTATCTGGCAGGACTTCAGCCTCTCAAGCCAATGAGCACAGAACTGTTGACGCCATGCCGAAGGCTCATTTGATATGCCACTCATCCCACCAGCAATAACAGAGTCACCGTATTCCTGGATCTTGTCCTCCTGAAGGAATTGTTTCTACCTGTTCAAAGGAATTGCTGAACCATCAACTAGTAAGAAGCCGTGGCGCCGCTATGCTGTCAGTCTATCAGGCTGGCTTGCGCACATTCAATTCCCGATAGGGCATACGCACAGCTTGCGCAAGCTTTCTTGTAGCCAAAGGACATTGTGTAGCGGTTATCGTTCTCTTGTGCGGACCCTATCATTTGTCAAGGTTTTGGTGAAATGCGCATCTCAAAGCTTCATTCGTGGTACTATTACAAGTTCAAGTGGTACTCAAAATAGGGTGGGGGGTAGTTGTTGTTTTCGCACAGCGGGAAAACTAGATGCAGTAGAAGTAGTAGAGGGTTGGTAGAGGTAGTAGGAGGCGCAGGTAGAAGGTAGTAGATGGTAAATAGTAGGTAGTGGTAGTGCTGGTTGTAGTGGTTGTAGTGGTGGCAGTGGCAGTGGCAGTGGCAGTGGTAGTGGTAGTGGTAGTGGTTTTGTGAGGAGTCGTATTGGTAGGAGTAGGAGTAGTGGTAGTAGTAGTTGTAGTAGTAGTAGCAGTAGTAGTAGTAGCAGTCCTACTAGAGTGGTAGTCGCAATAACAGCAATAGCGGTAGCAACAGTAGCAGGAATAATGGCAGTAGTTGTACCGCTGGTGGCAATAGTGGTACCAGGACTTGGACTAGCGCTAGCGCTAGCAGTACTAAGAGGAGGAGCAGTTGTAGCGCTAGCAGTGGTTCTCGTTCTGGTAAGGCACTATTTAGTACCTGTAGCAAATGTCGGCGTCGCCGCTGTAGTGACCACTGCTTTACTTCTTTTACACCGTGTCCAAGTCAAGCACTTGTCGCTAGGTTCTCGTTCTGGTTGTCGTTCCGTTTGCCGATTGAGTCGCGCAATTACGCGCAAGCCCTGAGTTTGGCCTGCCTGCCTGGTAACCCTTGCGCTACAATTAATACTGACAAATTGAGAGGAGAAAGCTTTGCAGCTTGAAGACGAAAGCTTTGCCGCGCGTGTAACCTCCCTTCTCGTGTGTGTTTCCGTGCCAACATCCTCCTCTGAATTTCTCTCGTGTCTCTCTTTCCTGGCTCTAGCTCGCACCAACTTGCGCCACGTTTCGGGAATCGATTGCGGATCAAACGCGCATCGGCCTCGCTGCAAGGCGGAACTTGCATTGGTAGTTGCTCTTCGCAGGACTGCGGCAGGGCTCAGACTTTTGACCTCGAAGCTTGCCAGGCGCAACCGAAAGCCAGGCGCTTGTTTGTTGGGGCTGCTTCTTCAAAAAAAGGAGTGTCAACAGTGAAACCATTTGTATCTGACGGGCCTAACTGCAACCCTGGCAGCATGATTCACCGATGTCTGCGTGGGTTTAGCTGCGGTCCAGGAAGAAACCTCTGGCGACTGTAAAGAGCGAGTGTCTTGGCACAGCCAGCTTCCGCCCCAAAATGAAGTTCTAAACGCTTCAAACACCTCTACAAGTCGAGCTGTTCAAGCAACTCGTGCTCAACATGTGCCCCTGCAAGCCTGCAGACCTGCACGCTTGCACACGTGCCACGCCTTCACTCCTGCAGACGCGGCAGCTATGTCTTAGGCGACCAGCACGCATCCTGGATCTTCATTAGTGTATGACAAGATGGGCTGCTTGCGCCCCCCTGCATGAAAAAGCTTGGTCCCTGGGGACGCACGCACGCAGGCACGCGCAGGCGCACAAACGCACGGGCACTCGTGCACGCGCACAGGCACTCGCTTACGCACGCATGCTGCGGAGCACACACACACAATCCGCATTGCACACACACACACAAACCCCAGACCCCCAGCCAACCCCATACCAACACACGTCACCGCGAACGGTGCGAATCAGCGTGTGTGTGTGTGTGTGTGCGCGCGTGCGTGCGCGCGTGCGTGCGTGCGTGCGTGTGTTGTGTGTGTGTGGTGTGTGTGTGTGTGTGCGCGTGCATGTGCATGTGTACATGTGTGTGCATGTGTGTGCATGTGTGTGTGTGTGCGCGCATGTGTGTGTGTGTGTGTGTGTGTGTGTGTGTGTCTGTGTGTCTGTGTGTCTGTGTGTCTGTGTGTCTGTGTGTCTGTGTGTCTGTGTGTGTGTCTGTGTGTCTGTGTGTCTGTGTGTCTGTGTGTCTGTGTGTCTGTGTGTCTGTGTGTCTGTGTGTCTGTGTGTGTCTGTGTCTGTGTCTGCGTGTCTGCGTGTCTGCGTGTCTGCGTGTCTGCGTGTCTGCGTGTCTGCGTGTCTGCGTGTCTGCGTGTCTGCGTGTCTGCGTGTCTGCGTGTCTGCGTGTCTGCGTGTCTGCGTGTCTGCGTGTCTGCGTGTCTGCGTGTCTGCGTGTCTGCGTGTCTGCGTGTCTGCGTGTCTGCGTGTCTGCGTGTCTGCGTGTCTGCGTGTCTGCGTGTCTGCGTGTCTGCGTGTCTGCGTGTCTGCGTGTCTGCGTGTCTGCGTGTCTGCGTGTCTGCGTGTCTGCGTGTCTGCGTGTCTGCGTGTCTGCGTGTCTGCGTGTCTGCGTGTCTGCGTGTCTGCGTGTCTGCGTGTCTGCGTGTCTGCGTGTCTGCGTGTCTGCGTGTCTGCGTGTCTGCGTGTCTGCGTGTCTGCGTGTCTGCGTGTCTGCGTGTCTGCGTGTCTGCGTGTCTGCGTGTCTGCTGCGTGTCTGCGTGTCTGCGTGTCTGCGTGTCTGCGTGTCTGCGTGTCTGCGTGTCTGCGTGTCTGCGTGTCTGCGTGTCTGCGTGTCTGCGTGTCTGCGTCTGCGTGTCTGCGTGTCTGCGTGTCTGCGTGTCTGCGTGTCTGCGTGTCTGCGTGTCTGCGTGTCTGCGTGTCTGCGTGTCTGCGTGTCTGCGTGTCTGCGTGTCTGCGTGTCTGCGTGTCTGCGTGTCGTGTCTGCGTGTCTGCGTGTCTGCGTGTCTGCGTGTCTGTCTCTGTGTCTGTCTCTGTGTCTGTGTCTCTGTGTCTCTGTGTCTCTGTGTCTCTGTGTCTCTGTGTCTCTGTGTCTCTGTGTCTCTGTGTCTCTGTGTCTCTGTGTCTCTGTGTCTCTGTGTCTCTGTGTCTCTCTGTCTCTGTGTCTCTGTGTCTCTGTGTCTCTGTGTCTCTGTGTCTCTGTGTCTCTGTGTCTGTGTGTCTCTGTGTCTGTCTCTGTGTCTCTGTGTCTCTGTGTCTCTGTGTGTCTGTGTGTCTGTGTGTCTGTGTGTCTGTGTCTGTGTCTGTGTGTCTGTGTGTCTGTGTGTCTGTGTCTGTGTCTGTGTCTGTGTATGTGTATGTGTATGTGTGTGTGTGCGTGTGACTTCAGGCTCTCTGTGTTTGTGCTCACATTTGCGTTTGTGCTCTTGTTTCTATTTGCCCGTGCATTTTCAGCATGCACGTGCAAGTCCTGCATGCTTCAGTCTTGTTTGTGTTTCTGTGGACAGGCTGGGTGTGTTTGTGTCGGTAGACATCTCACGACGCTATCTGATCTGACCCTAGGAAGTCAGTTCCTAGGGTCCTAGGCGCCCGTGCTGAGAAGCAGGTCACCAAAGCGCTGCCATATCCGGGCGCCTGGGCGGCAAGAACTTCACAAGCAGCTTGCGGACCGAACTGAGGGCAATGGGCAACGGCTTGCGCACTTCAAGTACACCCCCTTACTACCACCGGACATAGCAATTTCTGTTGACACGAAGGCGTACAGAAATGCCCCGAAGCATGCCACCACTCTGTATCACTCTGTAATTGGTGTGCAACGTGGCGTTGAAGCTTCAACATGCAGGCCCGACATGGCTAAATCTCGCTAAAGACATTTTCACCTGGCTGGAGACGCCCTTCAATGGGAGGATTGACTGCATAGCCTCTCACCAGTGGCCTAAGCGCAGCCCTAAGCGCAGCGCGCACCGATGACGCGTGCTTGAAGATGTTGGTTGACACGCCTCGACCTGGCTGGAGGGCAACTCGCTCAGCCTGGAGACTTTCTGACGTCAGCCTTGCAACAAAAAAGCCTTTCCTGTACTCCCGACAATTCATATATCCAAAACGTCCCAAAAGGCGCCAAGTGGCATCTGCTCGTGCGCTCAAGGCCCCCCACCTTCATAGTCAAGTTCAGCTCGTAACTCGCGTGGCATAAGCACAGTCATGTCAATGAAGTCCTGCACAGCACATGCAACGGAGCAAGAAGGCTACTCACAAGCTTGCAACATTAGAGCAAGCATCAACAAGCCCAGTCGGCAATCCACATGATCCGCTGCCAATGAAGCTGCGATCCCGCAAAAAGAAACTCACCATCTTCAGAACCTCTACTTCTTTGAATCTTTGAATCACGCGGGTCGAGACTGTCTTTTTGCAACCATGAAGTACTGTGTCCAGACTAAGCACAAGCCCCGTCCTCGCCAAAAACACCCTGCACAACCACATTGCCGACGATGCCCTCTTTCGCAAGGCCTGGTGATGGCTGCCTTCCCCATTCAGAAGGAGACAGGTAACCCACGTAGGCATAATTGCCATGTAATTGTGTGATCAGAAGATCTCTCGAAACGCTCTGCACTACAAAAGCTTGAAAACATGGGCATCGCATCCTACCACCAGCTCCAAAACAGTAATGATGTCCATGGGCCTATTGAAACAAAGCATCCACGAATCTCCATGGTTGATCCTAGCTGAAGCGCATGTACCGGCACAAAGTACTGCAAGTCACAAACTGCAGACAAGGAAGACCCAAGATACCAAGCTTCATGGGTAAGCTGGTTTTATCCCCACAGGGCTTGTCACTTGCGCAATGGGTTGCTGTGCATTGGCTTCCCTGGCTTCTATGCGGTCACGTTGTTCTGGTGTGCTTGCTCTTGCGCGCGTGGCCCTTTGCATCGGAAGGAGCATGTTCCTCACCAAGTTCACACTGAGGCTGCAAATGGGACGCGCCAGTGCAAGCCATAGATGATCTTCACAAGCAAGTCAGAACGATCGCGGCCTCAAGAAAAGGTTAGCCATAGCCCCATCAAGATGCATGGCGCCATCAAATCCCCATGCGCTGCAAAGTCCAAACATGCGCAGCCGTGTCCAAACATGCGCAGCCGCCCAACCTTCAATTAGTCAGGTCAACTTTTGTCGTTCAATTGCATACCCAGATTGTCAGGACACATTCCTACATTTCCTACATTTGCTTTCTACAGTTCGATTGTTCGGAACAGAATCACCACTGTTTAGATCTTGAATACATGTCTCAAACTGTAACCCGTCTAAATCATCGGATTGCGATTGTAATGTTTGGTGTCCAATCAAAATCACCCTTCGCGGGGTACATCCTCAAGCTCCGGCAAGCTGCTCTCGGGTTCGGCCGAAGGAACGACGCCGGCGATGCCTCTACTCTGGTTGGCCGATACGATGCTCGCCGGCAGTGCTTGCGGGGGCTCAATGAAGTCCACATACCTCGCGGGCAGCCGGGTAGCTCTTTCTGTCTCCGCCCAACATGTTGGCTGTGGGTTAAAACCAATGGGAGCCCATTTTGGGGTAGGTGCACCACCCATGTTAGTCGATTTTAGTGGAGATTGGGATGTTCACTGGGGGATTTTGACCCATGGCCGTGTGAGAAAACTTTATGTAGGCGACGGACCCAGCCCAGGTCTAAGTTCTCAAACTTCAGGTCATCTGAAACCGGCTCTCATGTCCATTGAGTACTTTGTGAATTGTTTCTTTTGCTTCGTGTTTTGCTGTCGCCGGTCTCAGCCTGTGTTCTGGAGATTCAATCTGAAGAGCCTCGAGGCTTGGAATTTCGCATGTTGCGGCCACTCAAAACAGCCCAAGAAAACGACGCGCGCATCACCGAACCCTTCAAACGACATAAAGGCTGCAGCTCAGACTCAGCTCGCCTTTTGCATCGACGCAGTCTCGTTTGATACAAGTAGCACAACAACAGCAAAGAGGGTGCTGCGCTGCGATGCGTGACAGCTGAATGCAACCTTGGGAATTTCTGCTCAATCGCCAGCCTTTGGAATTCCGTGAGCTCCTGCTTGTTGTCCTTGAAGTACTGGTGAAGCTGTACTTCTGCGTGCTGCAAGTACCTTCGAACGGCTTCTGCACACAAACATGGCACTGGCGCAAAGCAGACATGAACAAGCACATCCAACAAGCGTTCACGTCTGGGCATGCTGTATGCGGTGGAGACTGAACACCTTAAAAGGAAGGGTTGAAGTCCACCCAACTCTCTCAAAGGCATCCAGAAACTCGCCTCTGTACTGGTACCCAGGATTTCCAGCCCCTCTTTCGCAAATGAAAGCAAGCAAACGGGTCAAGCCGTTTGGCAACTTGCTTTGCTCTTTGTTTCTTTACCTTCTCTTTGTTGAGCGCGACAGCCACATTCAGTTCATCTTTAAGTCTTATGTCCACTGTCGCCGCATTGAATCACCTGCAACTATCCGTCACAGAAAAACAACCAGCCAGCTGTCTGTCGTGCTCAAAGTTATGCCTCATTTATGTGTTGATATGCAATCTGTATGTATATATATATAGGTGTAGACATCTATGTGTTTTGTTGTGTTTATGTGTGTCTCGTGTGCTCGTGTTGGTGCTTTGTGTCTGTGTGTGTATATGGATGCTGTGTTTGTTGATGTCACTATGCAGTGTGTGCCTGTGTGCCAGTTTGTGTTACGAACATGTTTGCATTGTTTTCAGCGTGTTCGTGTGTGCCAGTTTGTGTTAAGATCGTGTTTGCATTCGTGCGCTTATGTTGGCGGTTTGCGTTCGTGACATTGTATTTGTTTGTTTGTGTGTGTGTCTGTGTGACTGTATGTGCATGCGCCCATGCAAGTGTGATCAAGTGTGTGTGTGTGGGTGCGTGCGTGCGTGCGTGCTTGCGTGGGAGTGTGCTTGCGCGTGTGTGGGTGTGTCATCAAGTGCCTTCGCCGTCTTTCCACTGCTTTGTGCGCAGATTCTTGCTGAGACCACTCCGCGGCACTTCTTGGTGAGGATGTGAGTGTAGATAAACTTCCAACCTGGCGGCTGCAAGCTTCATCAGAGATATAGTGGCCTCAACGGGGAGCAAAGACATGTGGGTGTGTTTCCTTCGCCGCCCAATTTTGAAGCAAACAAAAGCCACAGCTCAGGTTAATCTGCAGCCGCGATGGCTGTCCTATCAGGTTGGACTTGGATGGTCTACTGTTTCTGTGGATCAGTTGAAAGGCAAGGCAGCAAACAGCTCCTCTGCTTCACCAAAAAAACAAATAAATCTCCATCAACATTCCATAACGTGCCTCGCCTTCTAAATTAACTGCATGAACCAACTTGAATATTATTGGATTCGGCGAATGAAGGCCAACGTGGGAAGCCTCCCCCCACAAGGCAGTCGGAACCATTTATAACAGGAACTACGCACACAATGTTTAATGCAATGCCGATGAAAAAGAAGGCGAACAAATCCAGGCAGCAGCAGCTATTGCATTTGTCTGACTCTGACGGATGCAATGAGCTTGCAAAACCCGCATGAGTAAAGCATCTATGACAGCTGGACGCGAAAAACAAGTGGGTGCTCCTCTTGCATGAGCAAAGTAGCTGTGTAGAAATCTCAGGAATAGACTTGTCCTGAACAAAGATCACATCAAGAACAAAAGCATTCACATGATGACAATCAGGCGTTCAAACGCCACAAGGCGAGGTTTTACCATTCATCTGTCAGAAAGCTCCGCGTACACCACAAGACGATGCAAAACCCCAAGCAAAAGCCCCCGCGGGTTTTGGGGTAGAGAAGCTGGCGCACAAAGGCTCCCAAACCTCCGGGAAAAAAGGTCCATAGCCATGCAAGCTGAGACAACTCACTGTAATAAAGCTAGCTGCAGTAGATTCACGGTTATCTAACGGCAATACTGCAATACTCTAAACACTAGTGCTGACTTTGTGTATGACATGCACCAGGCCGCAACCACGTACATAATAGCCCATTGCATTGTGTCAGCCAAGGAGAACATGCGAAACATGTGATGTCTCTTCTGTCTCCACCCACGGACGTCCTTGTTTGGTTGTCGCCGTGACGAGGCTGAATGGACTGCTCGACATGCAATGATTTATGTCAAAGTTGGGCGGGAGTTCCTGAGACGGCTATGCGGCTCTCGACGAATCCGTATTCAATTTATCCTGGCGACTGCGCTTTCAATGTGAGGCACTATCCAACAGAATATATTGGCGGGACTTGCTCAAAGAGGTATGTTTGCTGGCTCGGTCACAGCCGGCAGAGACGCTACAGTAAATAAATATATATATATATATATATTATGGACATCTCCGTCCAAACAGCGTTTCCGTCTCCCAGAAATACGGTGCGCACTATATGCAGTCCAAACAGCAACGCACACACAAAGAAAAACACGCGTAAGGTGCGGTGCACGTGTTCAACGCTGTAACAAATAGATTTGGCCATGCAATTCGTCAAAGCGAGCAAAACACACAAGCACCTTTGTCAGCCAATACCCAAGCAAACAAACACGAATGCCCCTGTCAACAGAACCTAAGGGGTCAACTGCTCTGAATGCCCTTCACAAGAACATGGAAATCTTCAAGTCGAACCCAACCTTCCTCCTCAAGTCAAGGTCGCTACATGACCCATTGAGGCAACATCACGTAACCAGGCTGATATTGCCCTGAATTCTCCCTGAATCTGGACGGTAGCATCATGATCCCAACCAAATTCAAAGAGCACAAGTCATAGTGAGATTTGGTGCAACATGGGACATGCCACCCATCTCTTTCTTATCTGATTCCTTTCTTGTCGCTTATGTTGCGCCTATATGTCAGAATAAGCTAACTTACCCTTGTATTGTCTGCATTCCTTGATTGTCCTAAATCCTTTCTGTTTATTATTCCTTTCTTTGCCTCTTTCTTTCATCTTATAATTGCTAGTGTTCTTCCTGCATTTCTATCTTCCCTCCATCTCTCTCTCTCTCTCTCTCTCTCTCTCTCTCTCTCTCTCCCTCGCTCGCCGCTAAGAAGTGTGCTCCGTAGAGAGTCTACGCTACAGCTGAGAAAAAACAGCGACCGCGGCAAACTCCACTTTGACTTTTCCAAGGGCCAATCTGGGGAGGCGTTGTCATCGGAATTCCTGGCAGTCGAAGTGGTCCATCCCAATGTCGCTTCCAGCGCCCAAATGGGTGTCTCTCTTTTTGACGGCACCCCCTGGTTTTGTTCCTTCTCTTTTCCTCTTTCTTTTTTTGGATTTAAGGGCAAACCCAATCCGCCGACCCCATCCTGGTCCAGAATGGACCATACTTTTGGCATGGGGGCGGTGTGTTCTGTTTTCTATAAGTTTAATGTGAATCGAATTATGTATATATACATATGTCCTGGGGGGCGGGAAAAGGAGGGAAAATACGTCGGCTGGATTTCTGGATCTCTGGATTTCTGGATGTCTGGATCTCTGTTTTTCTGGCGTCCCTCCCCCGCCTCCCCCGCAGTCTTCCATAGTCTTTCGGCTTCTTCCCGTTCCGTAGTCTTCTGTAGTCTTCCGGCTTCTTCCCGTAATCTTCCGTAGTCTTCCGGCTTCTTCTCGTAGTCTTCCGTAGTCTTCCGGCTTCTTCTCGTAGTCTTCCGTAGTCTTTCGGCTTCTTCCCGTAGTCTTCCGTAGTCTTCCGGCTTCTTCCCCTAGTCTTCCCGTAGTGTTTCGGGACCAAACGACGCGCGTTAGGACTTTTTCGAAACGATTCGGGCTTCTTCCGTTTCCCCCCCCCTCCCCGCCTGCGTGTCTACGTATCTGCTTCTGTCTTCGTGTCCGCGAAGACCCTCCCCCGTCTCTTTGTGTCTGCCTGTGTCTGTCTATGTCTGTCTGTGTTTTTGAGCCTTTCGCCAACTCGAGCTCCAATGGCCGCCCGGGTGGTGATGATGCACCGCTGGGCATGCAGACGATGCGAGGGGTCGGCGGCAGAAGGCAAAGCCGAGGCATGCGCCCCTTTGGGCGAAGTTGCACGGCGAGGCCGGATTTAATGGCCCGCGGCCTGGGCCCGGGGCGAGAGAAAGCACGCGTGCAGAGACCCGTTCGCGGACACGAAGACAGACGCACGTAGACAGACACAGACAGACACAAAGAGACACAGACAGACATGGGTTTGTATTTTTTTAGGGTGGCCGGGCAGGAAGGTTTGAGTACGGGGTATGATTCGCAGGTATGATTCGCGGGTATGATTCGGGGTATGATTCGGGGGTATGATTCGCGGAAGCAGCAGCAGCAGTAGTAGTAGTAGCAGTAGTCGCCGAAGTAGTAGTACTAGTAGTAATATTGTAGTAGTAACAGTAGTAGTAGTAGTAGTAGTAGTAGTAGTAGTAGTAGTAGTAGTAGTAGTAGTAGTAGTAGTAGTAGTAGTAGTAGTAGTAGTAGTAGTAGTAGTAGTAGTAGTAGTAGTAGTAGTAGTAGTAGTAGTAGTAGTAGTAGTAGTAGTAGTAGTAGTAGTAGTAGTAGTAGTAGTAGTAGTAGTAGTAGTAGTAGTAGTAGTAGTAGTAGTAGTAGTAGTAGTAGTAGTAGTAGTAGTAGTAGTAGTAGTAGTAGTAGTAGTAGTAGTAGTAGTAGTAGTAGTAGTAGTAGTAGTAGTAGTAGTAGTAGTAGTAGTAGTAGTAGTAGTAGTAGTAGTAGTAGTAGTAGTAGTAGTAGTAGTAGTAGTAGTAGTAGTACTAGTAGTCGTGGTAGTAGTAGTAGTAGTAGTGGTAGTAGTAGTAGTAGTAGTAGTAGTAGTAGTGGTAGTAGTAGTAACAGTAGAAGCAGCGACGTAGTGGCGCGGAAGCTTTGAAAAGACTTGGCGCTGGCCTTGGCAAGGCAAGTTCATTGCGCGGGTATGATTCGGGTATGATTCGCGGGTATGATTCGGCTAGGTGCAAAACGGCACTGATTACAAACTCGTAGTAGCTGTGGTAGTAGTAGTAGTAGTAGCAGTAGTAGTGGTAGTAGTAGTAGTAGCAGTTGTCATAAGCAGCAGCGGCTGTAGTGGTGCGGACGCTGTGAAAAAGACTTAGCACTAGCCTTGGCAGGGGAAGCTCATTGTCCGGGTATGATTCGGGTATGATTCGCGGGTACGATTCGGCTAGGTGCAAAACGGCACTGATTACAGACTCAGAATGATGTATGTGGTAGTAGTGAGTAGTAGCAGCAGCAGCAGCAGGAATAGTAATAGTAGAAGTGGTACTAGTAGTAGTAGTAGTAGTAGTAGTAGTAGTAGTAGTAGTAGTAGTAGTAGTAGTAGTAGTAGTAGTAGTAGTATAGTAGTCAAGGTTGTAGTCGTAGTAGTAGTAGTAGTAGTAGCAATAAAGGCAGTAGTCGTAGTAGTAGAAGTAGTAGTAAAGGTTGTAGTCGTAGTAGTTAGTAGTAAGGGTAGCAGAAGCAGAAGCAGAAGCAGTATAGTAGTAGTAGCAGCGGTAGTAGTGATAGTAATACTCGTAGTCGCGGTAGTAGCAGTAGTAGTAGTAGTAGTAGTAGTAGTAGTAGTAGTAGTGGTAGTGGTAGTAGCGGTAGTAGTAGTACTTGGAGTAGTAGGAGTAGTAGTAGTAGTAGTAGTAGCGGCAGTGGCAGTGGTAGTGGTAGTATTGGGTAGCGCTGGTGGTGGTTGTGGAGACAGTGAACAACACAAAACGGTAGAAGAACAGTAGCATCTTGCAGCATACGTTTTAAGGGGTATGATTCGGGGTATGATTCGGGGGTATGATTCGGGGGTATGATTCGGGGAGGTCCCACCTTCTGCCTTTTGAAGCAACTCAACACACCAAAAAAGGACAAACCCACAGGGGGTCTACACGAAGACAGACGCAGACAGACCCAGACAGACACAAAGAACACTGCAAATATGCAGCAACTCGGCTGCATTGCCAGCATCACCGAAGCGGAAGCCCTGGTATTTCACGCGTCGCCTGCATCCCTTGCATCGCCTGCAGTTGGGGCCATTCCTCCCGAAGCCATTCCTGATGGCGCGCGCGCGGGCGTGCGGTGCGGTGCGGTGCGGTGCGATGCGGCGCGACGCCGTACGGCGCGGCGCGGCGCGGTGAGGTGCGGTGCGGTGCGGTGCGTGCGTGCACGCGCGGTGGGCGGGCGGGCGGGTGGGCGCGTGAGTGTGTGTGTGTGTGTGTGCGCGCGCACTCTCCCAGGAATCCGTCCATCCATCCATCTGTCCCCCATCCCATCCATCCATCCATCCATCCAGCCAGCCAGCCAGCCAGCCAGCCATCTATCCATCCATCCACCAACCATCCAGCCATCCGTCCACCCACCATCGCGCATGGCTCGGTTTTTCGCTGGCACGCGAGGCCGGTGCGCGGAGCGTGAAAATAAATAGAACCACAATCTTGACGGGGAGACCTTTTTGGTCCACACCGCCATTTCGAGGGCCCCAGCCCTAGGGACCTCCCCAGATCTTCGGACCGCTGACCCGAGGTGCCCAGACCAGATCCTTGGCCCCGGCGGCCAGGGGCCGCTCCGTGACCACGAGGGTGGCAATAACCACCAGCGCGACGCGGAAGTCCACGCCCAGGATGGCTGCGGTTTTTTGGTCGTGGGGCCAGCCAGGGGCAGGTGGGGAGGGGGAGGGGCCGGTTTGGGGGGGGAGACCCGGGGGTTGCGCAGAGGGGTTTGGGGTTTGGGGCTTGGAGTTGAAGAGGGGTAAGCTCTGAAGGCACTAATTCTAAGCAGCAAAAAAGTAGGGGCCGTTTCAGGATTTGCGGCTCGCTCAAACGGGCAAGCCCTTAAGTAGAAGCTTCCAAGGGGTGGTGGCGCACATGGGGCCCATTGAAGGATTTCTGGCTCGCTCAGGAGGAGTTCTTTCAGCCAGCCAAATGGGGGCGCGTTCAAGGGATTTGGAGTTGCGGTTCGTTCAAGAGGGGTACACTCCAGACTAACAGCCGGAAGCTCCCCCAATTGGCCTCTGTAAATGGAAGCTAGTCTTCCAAAGGGGTCCTGGGAGCTTTCCATGTTTGGGGAGAGGGTAAGCCCTCAAGATCCCTCAAGGCACCAACTATGTAACTAGCAAAAGCAGACACGCCGCGAACTTGGAGCACAAGTTTGTTTAGGCCGCGGAACGTCGCGATGCGCGCAAGGAGTGACTGCGATTGGGGCAGAACACTGCAGATCGTACGCCAACAGCTCACAGGGCATCCGAACATTCGCGAGTCCCCTCATTTTGCTCATGAAGCGCATCACACAATGAAGCAGCTTCTGTTGATTAGAGCCATGTCCCGATTCTGCTGCACAATACATGAGACCCCTGGTTGGGAATGAATCAAGGCAACCAACACACCGACCAAGAAATAAGTCACACCCAGGTCAAGTCGTTGAGAGGTGGAAGCCCGGGGACATCACCCACTTCCCGAGGCGAGTTCGGTTTCCGCAAGGGTGTGTTTCTTCAGCGTCCCAACAAGGTTTTGAAAGATCCCAGCAAGGTTTTGAAGGCAAAGAGTCTCCAGGTACCGTCCATAGGCGCAATCAATGCCAAGCCCAAACCAGGTGCAGCAAACACTTCGCAATTCAACGGGATCCAGGTGAACCTCGCACACAACCCTCGAAAGCAAGCTCAAGTACCAAAAGTTACATTAGAAGCGTCCTTGAAGACATGATACAAAGGTGATTGCCGTCATTGAAATGGAGGCAAGGCATGGTACTTTGGGATTGAATGACCGGATGTGAGGGAACACAAGAATGGACCTGCACATTCTGACAAAGCCAAGCACGCCAAGGGCACTGACACCAATCGACAGCATGAGGTAAAGCTCCGCCGTCCAGCCATAGCAAGAAGTGGCTTGCTGGTAGTGAATCTCCCCCAAAAGCCTCAGCAAGCCCATCACGCACGGAAACAAAAGGGCACAACTGCTGGCCATTGACAAGGGCTATTTGGCTCTGGGTCAAAACTAAACCGCCAGGGGACCGCAGATTTTAGTTCGTATTTCCATTTACCAGGGTTGAATTTTGATTACTCCGAAACATTATTGGCCCCCGTTCGTCGATCAACTGTTGAATGTGTCAGTCAGTGCGAAAATCACTTTCAAACTTTTCCGGGTGGATCAAACTGTTCCTTGTACACAAAAAAACTCGGGACAAAAAGATGTTCTGGCAAGCAACATGGTTTTCGAATCTAAAGCCTGGTTTCGCACATAGTGTCTTGGATTTTGCCTTCTTACGGGATACTTTCGGGTTTTGTACGTATACGGGACTTGTGTGTGGTTTAACGGGTTCTGAACTGCAAAACCTGGTTTTGGAACCAAAAACCGGCCTTGAAGGCTATACGGCCAGATTTTATTTTGCTTTAAGGTTTAGGTGAGATATTCTTAACTTTCTCCTTCAATGCTATCTACTCGGAATCTAGTTTGTCTTTCAGAAAAGCCAAATCCTCATTGAAGAGTGGTTTGCCTCCAGGTGCGGTTTTGGAAATACTCTGATGCCGCATGGATTTCTGTCTGTCAATCATTCCACAATGCACCAGTGACAGTGCTCCTGCTGTCAGGAGCAAGTGACAGCTCGATGAAATAGGATGAACACCAACGCACGAGTATAGTGACAACTGGAAAGGCAGCGCTAAACAACCCTCTCAACGGCATGATATGGAATGCCTGAAAAGCTGCTTCCCAAATTAAAATGGAGAGCATTAAGAACCATTCGAATAAGAATGCCAGCGAGCATGTAGGAAACTGCCCAACGTATATGCACAAACATGAAAACTGGAACATGAGTTGAATCAAAGATCCGTTGCGCGTCGCGAGCATCAAGTCTCGGCAGGAAAAATACACTTGCATAGCCGCACGTGCAAACACACACACACACACACACACACACACACACACACACACACACACACACACACACACACACACACACACACACACACACACACACACACACACACACACACACACACACACACACACACACACACACACACACACACACACACACACACACACACACCACACACACACACACACACCCACACCCACACACACACACACACACACACACACACACACACACACACACACACACACACACACACACACACACACACACACACGCACGCACGCACGCACGCACGCCCACCCACCCACCCACCCACGCACGCACGCACGCACGCACGCCCGCACGCACGCACGCACGCACGCACGCACGCACGCACGCACGCACGCACGCACGCACGCACGCACGCACGCACGCACGCACGCACGCACGCACGCACGCACGCACGCACGCACGCACGCACCCACGCACCCACACACGCACCCACGCACCCACGCACCCACGCACCCACGCACCCACGCACCCACGCACCCATGCACACACACACACACACACACACACACACACACACACACACACACACACACACACACACACACACACACCCACACACACCCACACACACCCACACACCACACACCACACACCACACACCACACACCACACACCACACACCACACACCACACACCACACACCACACACCACACACCACACACCACACACCACACACCACACACCACACACCACACACCACACACCACACACCACACACCACACACAACACACCACACACCACACACCACACACCACACACCACACACCACACACCACACACCACACACCACACACCACACCACACACCACACACCACACACCACACCACACACACACACACACACCACACACCACACACCACACACCACACACCACACACCACACACCACACACCACACACCACACACCACACACCACACACCACACACCACACCACACACCACACACCACACACCACACACCACACACCACACACCACACACCACACACCACACACACACACCACACACACCACACACACCACACACACACTTATCTCGAGAGGCTTCACTAGCCGAGATGGAAAACGCAGTCAGTAAAAATGCTTGAATGCAAATGCAAATCAACAGGTCACAACATCGACACCGAACAGGAAGCAACAGCGACAAACAGAAACCGCAAAAGGAATCAGGAAAGAGGGACCAAAAGGACGTTCAGAACATCACGACTTTCTCAAATTGCAGGTACGTCCAGAAGGCGTCCCTTCCGGATTTCACGACCAAACCATCACTGTCTTCGTTGGGCAGTGAATGATAGCGGTCCACTGCCCCCCTGCTGCTTAAAGTTTTGCGTCCGTGCTCCAGGACGGTTCACACACACAAGGCCCCGAGTGGGGCGAGCTCACTTACGCAAGGCCCATTGAGTCTTGCAATCTTCGACTGTGCGGGAAAGTCTCGTGGCTGACAGACCATGCATGCTTGGCCTTGGTATTGATCTTAAGCGAACTGAGGAGATCAATCTCCCCCTCAGTCCAAGGTTGCAGGGCTTCGGATCAGCCCCAGTAGCGGCATCAGTCCTGGTCGATGGGGTAGCTTCGCGTTGTCCACGGGTAGGTTTGGATGCCATAGAGTGTGAGGAGGTCTTGTCATGTGTGCAACGAGCTCGTTTTTTGTCAGGAGGAGACGGTGGAGTGGGTGGAGCCCAATGATCAGGAAATTGTTCATCATGATCTGCGAGAAGTTGTTCGCCATGATCTTCAGGAAGTTGTTCATTAAGATCATCGGGGGGGGCTAGGAGAGGTGTTGGTGGTGAATTGGTCAGGTCCTCTACGGTGAGATTGAGTGGAGCTTCCGGTGCGAAATCCGGACCCTCAGTGAACTCGCGAATGGTCGCGACCTTGCTGGGCAATGCCGAGGATGAGTTCAAAGTCTTGAAGCAGCTGGCGTGCTGTGTCAGGATCCATGATCGCAAAAGGCTTTATGTCAAACAGCTGCGGTGTGAAAACAGGTCATGTGGGAATCTGCCGGTGGGCTAAGAGTGAAAAAGTGGGTGCAATCTCAAATAGTGGCAAAGGAAGGCCGGTGCGTTTTTTCTTTCTGCAAGGTGAAACCGTGTTGGTGGTACAACTTCTTCAACACTGTGAGATCGTGATCTCGCTGAAGCTCAGGAAAGGAAACCCGGCCGATCAGCGTACGTCTGGAGTAATATCCAGATTCCTTGTGCATCATTGGTGCGGCCGACTTGATGGAGAGCATGTTGTGCGTCTCATACGAGGGGATGAAGGAGATGGTGCCGCACTCAAGGTCTAGTCGAAAACCCAAGAAATCCAGGGCGGCTTCTGTTTCCAAAAGGATGTCTCCCCCGTAGAAGTGTTCGTCACACAAGATGTGGGCTGCCGGAGTCGAAAACCATCTAGGGGTTGCGACCACGAGCCGGTTGTCCACATAGCGGAGCAGGAGGGTGTCCTCAAAGGAGCAAGGTCCCGAAGTAGGATGGGTGTTGGCCCAAATTTGCTCGGCGACCGCAATTACCATCAGGCATAAAGCCGGAGATGCGGGGGATCCCATCGGGGCCCCGCGTGTTTGCCTGAAGGAGCGGAAGCCGACAGAAAAGATCTGCATGTCAAGGGTAGCTTGAATGATTTCGGGGATGTCGTCAAGCCACAGAGTGCGTTGTGCTAGCTTGTGTCGGCGACAGCGTCCGTTGTAGACGCGGGTGGTGGAAGAGGTGTCAAGTGTGTCCACTGTGAGGTGTGTGGTGGTGGAATGTGGTTGCCGCTGTCGGTACCAAGTCAAAAGTAGACGCCAGGCTGCTAAGAAGCGGTCTTTGTCAATGGAAGTGAAGAAACCAGAAAGGTCCTGGCTTCGACAGTCCAGAGGAGTGTGGCCGAGGCGGAGAAACTCATGCAAAGACCGCATGAGATCGAAGAGGTCGCCACCCGAAAATGCGTCTGGGCAAGCCGTGGCAACCATGCTGTGGAGCAGTTTGGCGAGAGCGTCAAGCATGGGTCGGAAGAAGGCGCCAACGAGCTATGGACCCTTACTAGTCAAGCACGGAGACTCCCGTGCCAGAGAGCGTCACCAGCTGATAGGCTATCAGGTGGATGAACACGTCCGTCATCGTGCCGTCGAGCGCCTTGAAGGTGAACCGAGCCAGGTCGCCCGAGCGGGTGCTGACACCACTGAGGGGCATCTTGGGCACTCGCTGATGATGGGCCGAGCAGTGGTCCAGTTCTTCTTCCTCGTGGGGAGGATGTAGGCAGTCGCTGGCCGTCCGAAGCCGGTCACGGCCCATGGATAGCGACCGCGGAATCTGCTGACGATGCTTTCTCGTTGCCGTTGATGGATCTCAATGGAGGGGACTCGCAAGGGAGCAAAGATGGCAGGATCCGTGAATGTGGCGTCCAGCATCTTGCCGTACACAGCGGGGCAATAGAGCATGAGTCGGGAGTCCGCATGATCTTCGCAATGGCGGACAAGGGGCTCCAGGGTTGTTAGAGCCTGTTGAACATGAGCATGTAGAAAGTACTGTTGTGTGTGAGGAAGGTGGAGGTCGAAATGGAAATCGACAATAGTGGAAAGGGTTGATGGATCAAGCGAGGGCAGGTTGTTGGTCCTGGCCCAGTGGTGAAACGCCTGAGTCAGACGATTCATCAAGACCCCGCGTGGAGGAAAGAAGGAGTTGCGCATCGAACCAGAAAGCATGCTGACTATGTCGGGGTCGAACAACTCATGAGTGTCGGAGCCAGAAAAAAGAAGGTGTCCCTCATGCTTCGGGAGGGATGGGTGTTGCTTGGCGAGGTCGGTACATGTGCAGGACAGCTCGCCGAGACTCCAGGTTTGAGCTGCCAGGAGGTGTGAGAACAAGGCACTGGATAGTTTCCGGTGTGCCTTGAAAACGATGCGTGGTTGCGCCACATGAAACGGTAGAGCACTGCGGGTGGTGGATCTGACAAACCCGCGGAGCTGGGCCAAAAGCAAAGTCCGAAAGGAGGAATGTGCGAAGAAGGGCGCGAGCATCGGTCTGGAAGGGGCCGGGTGGAATTAGGCCCCGGAAGCGCAGGCTAGATCGAATGGCAGAGGTGCATGCCTGGCGGTGTGGTTCAGGTAAGTGTGTAGCGATGCGATGAAGGATGTATAGGGCAGCGTGTGGGAAGTCTCTGCTCCGTGTGTAACGGATGGCATCAAATCGTCGTAGGGTGTTGCTGCCAAGATCGCCCAAAAGTCGCCACACAAGTCCAGGCGGTTGCTCATGCGCTTGGCCAGGAAAGCTTGTTGCAGAGCGATTGGTAGTCGTAGTCTGCGACGCTTTCGCCAAATGGTGGCAAAGCCCATGTGCCGGGATTGAGAAAAGTCCAATTGTCGTATGAAGCCCGTGCGTGGCCGAAAACGTCTCTCGATGAAGCCAAAATTGAGAGACGGTTGGGACGGCAATGTGGATGGGCACTGAAGTGAAACATCGAAATGCGCCCACCATCGAACGGCCAGCTCGGCGTTGACCAAATGGTGTCGTTGAACCTGAAGTAGCTTGCGGAATCGGCTGTGATCCCGAGCCATGAGAGAGGTGCGAGTTGCACCGACCTAGAAAAAGGTTTGCCATTTGGGATGGCTGATAAATCTCAGATAAACCGCGGAAGGGACAAGCTGAGATGAGAAATCAGAAGCGGGGGAATCCAGGCCGAGTCGGGCAAGCAGGGCTTTCAGTCGGCCAGAGCCACACGAGAGATGGCAAACGTCAAGTAGCTGAAGCTGTGCGAGTAGCCAGGAACAAAAGTGACGTGCGGTGACGTCGTCGGTTGGGAAGAACCGGAGAGTGAAACGGAGGACAGCGAGAAATTGGCAGCAATAATTTGCCAAAAATTGTGTTGCTTGGCTGTGCGTCGTTGTCGGTGTGCTGTTGAGAGTCACTGGTAGAAATGGCTTGCAGCGGCCAGGATTCGGCCCAGGGCCGATGACCCTAGTTTGGATAGGGTTCGCACTGGTACGCCCCAGAGCACGGCGGCTCGTTCCGTCGTTGGACCAGCATTTAAGGGTCTGCTTGCTTTCTTTGCTGATCTTCTGGGAAGTGATCCATCGCTGGACTTTGGTGTCGGATATGCCGGGTGGGAAGTTGCTGGTGAGCCATTGGCAAACGTGGGGAGGGGGTTGGAGCAGGTCGCAAGGCTCCTTCCAGGTGGGCGGAGAGGGGAGGGGAGAAGCCGCCGGGGTGCCGCCGTGGGTGGGGGGGGGGGTGCCGCCGTGGGTCGGGGGGGCTGGGGGAGAAGGGGAGTCGTCAGCGGTGCAAGCGGGGAGGGGGAGGGCGGGGGAAACGTCAGGTGGTGGGGTGTCAGGCGTGGTCAACCGTGTCCAGAAGGGAGGCCTGAGAGGGGTCAGCCGGGCGCTTGCTGGATGATGTGGGTGTAGGGGGAGGTGAAGGGGATGAGGCTTGCTGTGCGAGTTGGCTGTGTGCGACGGCAAGCTGTTGCTGGAGCTGGAGGATGGTGGCAGCTGAAGCTGGGTCGGTCGTAGTGGTGGGTCGTAGGGAGATGAGGAAGTCGAAGATCTTGCTGGTTAGTAGCTTCATGGCTGCTGGTTTGGTGGTCGAGGTGCCCTCCTGTGTAGCGACGTGAAGAGCGAGGGCATCCAAGTCAAGATGTCGTTGTCGGATTTGGCTGAGTAGCCCAGCGGCGAAGACTGACTCCGGCATCGACTTTGCGACAACGATGCGTACCTCACCTCCATGGGCGAGGTGGCGCAACCACCAGCTGTTCCACTGTTCGTGCAGGAAGTTGAGGAGGGGAACGCGAGCGATGTCCTGTCCCTCAATGCCCAATTGCCGGGTGAACGCGGTATGCGTCATGACCTTGAGCAGGTCGTACCCTGCGACGCGGGTGGTGTCGTAGTGATCGTCGTCGGGGTTGAACTCTGCTGGTGTTGGGACTGAGTGGAGGGGGCGAAGAGCAGGAGGGGGTGTGGCCTTCGAGGCGGTGGAGGGAGGGGAGAAAAGGGGGCCGCGGGTGAAGGGGCCGGGGGGAGGAGGGGCAAAATGGGCGCCGGGGAGAAAGCCGGTGAAAGGGGGACGGGGGCCGAGGGGGTTCCGGCCGTGTTGTTGCCGTACATGTTGCCATGGTGGTTGGATGCAGCGGGTGAAGGTTGCTGTGGATAGTTTTGCCTTTGGAGCATCGGTAACAAGCCTCGAGGGGGTTGGAAAGCCATGAGAAAACACAAGGGAAAGGGACCAAGTTCGAACCAAAGGTTGGCAAACGGCAACCAAAAGGAAGGGTCGCACGGCGAAAGACCGGTCACAGAAAAGGCAACAAAGCGAACAAACCGTGCATCAGTTCTTTTCCTGGTCATATGGAATATGGTACGGTTCGCGCCCCGCTACGCCGGGCGCTGCAGCGCGACACCTCTCAGCATGACATACTTGGAGTGAAGGCACCACTTCTTGCCTCTGCGGCATGCAAAGTGGCGCCGCACGTTGTGCTGGTCCTCGTGGCTTCCCCCGGACTCCAAGATCTTGTGCTGATTGACAGAGCGCAGTTCCCCAAAAGCGATGGCCCCAAGCTGAGACTTTCCGATGGTGAAGTTCTGCAAAAGCTGGCCTAACGTGTCGGGATTGCAGGCTGTGGGAGTGGCCTGAGCATAGCATCCAAAGCTCGGGTAGTCATGGTTCTCAGGCCTCCATGCAGCAGGCCGGATCATGTTCTCATAGGACATGCGGCGCATTCGATCCGGGGTGGTGCCGTGTACATACATGACAGCGTGATGGGAAGCTGTGCCGGATCCAGCTTCCGGGTGCCCGCCAGCGACCGGTCAGGGGTGTGGTCGGGGAAACCAAGTGGTTGCGAACACCATGCCATGTGATTCCCGTCCCAGGAGATGGTAGAAGCTGGGTTCGAACGCTATGGGCTCATCCATGTCCATGGTTCGCGGTTCCCAGCATTCTGCAAGGAGGTCGGCGTGTAAAGGTGGCAAGGCAGGGTCCAGGTTCGTCAAAATGGCCTTGGTCTGTTCCACTGGAGATGTCCAAGGCTGGAAGCGGGTCCAGCTCCCCCAACTCCCTAGGCGTGGGAACTCGCATTGGGTCAGTCTTGGCTGTGTCCACGACGCTTCGCCATAGATCAAGCCACCGGTTGTCGGAGTTTGTGTTGAGCTCTGCCTCCGACGGAGGGGGATCCAGGTCTTCAATGTCATTCAAGGGGTGTTGGGGGGAGGATTCAGGGCGGGGAGGGGGGGTTGGGAAAGCCGCCGCGGGAGGGTGGGGGGTGCGGTTGTTGCCCAGGTTGCTGCTGTGGCCAGGACTGTCGCTTGTCCTGACTGCTCCAGTTGCCTGTGTTGCTGGCGCTGTGGCGGTGCTTGCCCCAGCAGCTTGTGCTGTGGCTCTGCGGTGGGTATCCCCACGATTGGTTCCACCAACGTGGAGAGGACCTTTGAGACTTGTCCCATCCGGAAGTGCGCCGGGAAGTGGAACCTTGGGAGGTGTGGGTTTGCGGGGCTCGATGTGGAGCCGTGGTCCTGGGTGCGGGGGAGTGTCGTTGGGGGGACCTGCGCCGGGGGGAGCGTGAGCGGAGGGAGATGGGGTTGCGGTGCGATCGCCTGGAGCGGTGGTGGGGCCGTGAGGGGGAATGTGACCGTCTGGAGCTGCGTGCTCGCCGGGTGGTGTGTCGCCGTGGCGACTTGTCGTGTCCACGGTGATGCATCACCGTGTGGGAGTGTGAGTGGCGGTGTCGTCTGTGACGGGAACGGGATCTGCGGGAGTGGGACTGGGGATGAGTGTCCGTGGGATGTGGGTTGGCCGAGGAAGCGGCGGCAGGAGTCGTAGCAGCTGCATCAGCTGCGCGTGCCGGCTGAGGCTCGGGCAGTGAAGATGGCATGCTGCTCTGAGCCATGAAGGGCATCAGGGCGCCGGATGTCGCGTTGCCAAAGTTAGGAAGGCCACCGTGGGGCATCACGGACATCGGGTTGCCCAAGTTCGGGAGGCCACCATGGGGCATCGTGGAAAACAGTGCAAAGGGCGTGGTTTGTGGGTTGGGTGAAGGTACGATCTGGGGTGATAACTGCAGGTTCGGTCCACCGCTGCCTGGTGAGCCGGACACGGTGCCGGGCAATGCTTTGCAGGAGCGAATGCATCATGTCATAGAGCTGGTGTCCAGCCATCTCGCAAGGAAGAGAGAGGGTTGGAAAGAGAGGGGTGGAAACAATAAAAGGCAACTGCGGCATGGGCAGGCACGATTTAGCAACTGATTCACACATGACCTGTGCCTCAAAAAAGCTGCCTTGTCGGTCCAACTCATGTCAATGCAGGTGTCGCTTGAACGTGAAAGTGAATTGAACTGATCAGAGTCAGTGCAGAGCGTAAACCGATGAACTGCAAAGCCGGTGTTTGACCGACCTGTCCCTTGCACATGCGGCAGCCTAGCCGAAACCTCATGGTTGCTGCCTTGCTCAAGGTGCAGGCAGTGCGACAGGTGCAACAAGCAATGCGAATAGCGGTACCTCACCTGCAAAATTGCTGCCTTGACCATGGTCAATCGCGCTGAACTGCGGCTTGAATTTGAACGAATGGCAGGCACAGTAGGGCAGGCGAGGCCTTACACTCACACCACAAACATTGGACATGGGACAGAAAGTAATGCCCTGTTTTGCACGCACGCTCCTCGGAAGTGGGGCCGGAGTTTGCCCGCTGGGGCTCTGCTGCCAGGTGGCCCGATGCCGATGAGGCCAGGAAACACACCTGGACGGCAAGCAACAGGCACCAAATGAATGTCTCTCTTTCTGACGGTACCCCCAGTTGTCAGGGGAAACCTTGTACGTAGAACAACCACCATCTTTAAGGGGAGACCAAAAGATCTACACCGCCATGTTGAGGGTCCAAGCCTTAAAAAAGGGACATTTCCAGATCTTCGGACGTCAGGAACATTTTCAGGCAGGCTGTTGGCGAAGAAAGGGCACGATTGTCGGCGACTTGCGCTGTTCGTTCGGTGACCCCTTCCCAATGCACACCGCGTCACCCCTTGCCAATCGCACACAGCGTATCGTGCACAAGGCATTTGCCAATCCAGAGCACGAAGCATGTATAATGACTTTCATCCCCCTTGCATCCCCGAGCACACTCAGCAAACTTCGAAAGCCCTCGCTCAGGTCAATCTGGCAACCCGCTGCGCCCTTCCCATTGAAACAACATGAGGCCAAAGCGCTGCAGCCTAAAGAACAGCTTGCACTCAGCTCGCGGTGGCATTTCCTTTGGCTCAAAGGTGCTGTGAAGTCTAAAGCACAGAAGCAAGACTTGGAGGCCCATACACCTGGCTACAGCGCAGCTTGCTGATCTGCGCTCGCGCCTGCCGAAGGTAAACATCAAAAGAACAAGAAATGACCACACGCCAAGACAAGAAGGACATGATGCTTGCCCAAGTGCAGATCCAAAATGGAGTCAGACTTGAAGTCAAAATGTTGGAACACTTCAGCGATAGCTGGCTCCTGGCACCTCCAGAGAGGACGAACAAGTCAAGGTCGAACTGCGCACAAAGAAAGCCGCCGATGCGGGTAGGCTTGATCCTAGGCAAACGCTTGGTGGTTTGGCTTCCGATATATCCTCTACCTGAACCAGGGGGCCCCCAAATCCCAAACCAGCAAACCACCAACTAAGGGTCCATTAAATGTTGGACCAAGCCCGGGCGTTTTAGTTCCATCGACTAGATCCATGTGCAAAACAAATTATCAGCAAAGGTGCAGGGGCCGATTGGATTCGGCGATGTGAGGTGCCTCAACATCTCCGAAGAAACGCAGAAACCATAAGTCAATCAGCCCCTTGCACCTGTCACAGTATATGTCACGACAATTGTGTTGGACGAAGGATTTAAACAACAACTAACACTGGGATTGAGGACAGTCTGCAACACCCCAATCTCACCCATCACTATCCGCTGTATTCCATGATTCCTGCTTGAAAATGCTTCCGAAGCCGCTGATTCAGTGGATCAGTTGTAAGCAAAGCCGAACGACCCTTCCACAGCGCTACACAGCAGTCCGACAATAACAACTTGCACACACGCTGAATCAATGCCCATCATCACTTCTAGGGACAAAGCAATAAACATGTTGACAGCAAGAACGTGTAACGCATGCACAAAGGACAACACAAATCACCCCACAGAAACAAACAACGTTGGAGCTGGAACCATTGTAACTATGCTAGTGCTTGCTTCTCTGTGTCTCCCAATATATACGTGTATCTATCTATCTCTCTATACATATATATATATATATATATGAGCCGGCGTCCAATATTACTTGTTTGGGGTGTATTCATTCCGACGTTAGGCACTCCCGAATCGTTTTTCATGTATTGTTCTCAGGTTTTGGAGTATCTTTTCTTTGGACGTCCCGTATCAATTTTCGAGAAGCAAACACAGAAAATAACGCATGCATGAAATACTCCTACATAGGAAATGACGGTGATTTTGTAGCTAACTCATATAAGTACGCATATGCTCTAGAGTAATGTGAGTCACAAAACAAAACATAAACACAGGAACCCCTTTTTTAAATACCCCAGAAACCCATGTCCTGTCTTCACTTTGAGCCGATTTCTCGCCATGCGTCTTCTCCTCGACACTCAGGGCCTGCTGTAGCTCCGAGCCCAAGCCGGATGTCGCCGCCTGTGGGAAACCAGCGCTCAACCACGGCTTTTGGGATAGTGTCTTGGGTCTACCTGCTTTCTGATCACTTGGAATGTGGGACATCTTTTTGAGCACTTGGGATTTGCACGGGAAAAAGGGGGGAAAGGACACCTTATTTCAACCAGCACTGCTTCTTGAACACTTGGGGTGTACATGGGCAAGAAGTTGGAAGCCGCTTTTGAACACTTGGGGTGTGGGACATGTTTTTGGAGCTCGCATGCATTCCAATGTCAGTTGCCAGCTTGATTGCCAGCTCCATGTAAATATATGCACATAAACTAGGCGCTCACCTTGGGGAAAAATATATATATATATATATTTCTACATGTATATATGGGTATATATTTACAGATCTGCAGACATTGCTCGGCGTATCGGGCACCTAAGAGAGGATAGAGGTTCACCCCCCCCCCCCCCCCAATCTCCCCCCGGGGACACGTCTGATACGTAGGGTTTGGGGGGCGGGGGGGGCACTTGTCGCGCCTCCGGCGCGGAGGTCGTCAGCGTCACGTTGCCAGGACCGGCGCCTGCAACGGGAAAGACGCTGGAGAACAGTTCCCAACGGATGATCCGCCGAACGGATAACACCTATGGCTGTGGGTCAAAAATGGGTATCCATTTTGGAACCCCAGTAAATGGAACGAAGGACTAAAACCTGCGGTTCCCTGGTGCTTTAATTTTGACGCCGTTTTGGGTGGTTTCAATTGGACATCAAGTGGGAAACCACCATTTTCGCGGGTTCCCGTAAAAAAGGACATACCCATATAATTCTGCAAATCTGAACAGAACTTGTGCAACAACCACGCGCCCTCTGTCATTGTTGATTCAAGGCTGCATTTGAGAGACGTGTTCGTCCAAGACCACAAGTGGCTGGGGGTGGCTCAAACACTGACCCAGTATCCCCGACATCTTTGTAAGAAACAAACAATATGTCCTTTTGACAGTTGCATTTTTCCCCTTCGGCGCGGCAAACACAACACGGTCGTCTATTTCTGATTGACCGGTTCTCGTTCGACGAACTTGCTGAGCCTATCGGAAGCAAACTCAAATGGATGCTATCGGTACATATCGAGAGGAGAGCCATCGCGGCGCAGGCTCCGCTAAGCCGGGTGGTTCAGTAACGTGCTCACCCTTCCCCCTTCAATCCAAGTGAGAGCACGTCCGAGCGGTCGATGCCACACCTGTAAGTTTTGTACATTGTAATTCAATGCAACGTGAAAATTCCCTGTACCGTGCCTGCCATACAAAATGCAATATTGTATCTGACCAACTTGGACCGATTGCGTATGCTACAC